CAATATGTCATACAGGCATCTACATTGTTTGGAGTTTGGTATTATGTTACAATATGTCATACAGGCACCTACATTGTTTGGAGTTTGGTATTATGTTACAATATGTCATACAGGCATCTACATTGTTTGGAGTTTGGTATTATGTTACAATATGTCATACAGGCACCTACATTGTTTGGAGTTTGGTATTATGTTACAATATGTCATACAGGCATCTACATTGTTTGGAGTTTGGTATTATGTTACAATATGTCATACAGGCATCTACATTGTTTGGAGTGTGGTATTATGTTACAATATGTCGTAGTGTGAGTCGGTGAGGAAATTTTATAAAGCCTGAAATCTATAGTCTATACTGGATTTACTAATTTTGCATTATGTATTCGAGTTGAACTATTGGGCTGCATACACACGTGTATTAAGAGATAAGAGGCAAATTCAGGACACATCACGATTGTTTCTGAACGGGTCCCTGCATGGTCAGATGTTGACCGAAGGTTTATCAGATAAGGACATTGAACTTTGATAAATTGATAGCTTCGAAAATTTATAAAATTAGTAACAGTGCAGTGATTAATAGGGTCGATGCTTGTCTTAACTAATGGGAAATTGCAAACTTGAAGACGAATGAGGGGACTTGATTTTGATTGAAAACATATTTTATTGCGGAAAACCAAATGGATTAGGCACAAGTGACACATTTACGAGGCCTTCTCCTATATACATTTCATTACATTGTGGTATGTGAATTCTGTGGTGCAGAATAAATGTACAGTGCATAGGAATTACAAGTAATGAAAAAATATAAAACACATATTCATATATATATATATATATATATACAGTATTACACACAAACACATATACCTACATACACTCACAAATACATCTACATATATACATATGATGAATTTACATTTTTGGTATACAATGGTACATGATATATTTATAAAATAACACAGTAGTTAATAAACTACATGTAATAGACATTTTAAATTTATGTGAAGGGCGGGAAATCTAGAATGTAACTAAGCTTTGATAGTTACAGGGAATGCAATTGTTTTACATCAAAATCAGAGTGTTGAAACAACCATGTATTATATGTACTAGAAACTTGTAATATCCAGATAATTTGAAAGTAGCTCGAGAAATATAATTCTTGTTTGTTTCTAAAAATTAAGTTAATTTAAATTAAGAGGGCATTGTAGAAACCATCCAACCTATCAACTGCTGACTTCATGTTGATTTCATGTTTGTTACTGTAAGTTTCGTTCATAATAAGTGTAGTAAACATAAAGCCGTTTGTTGATTTTGATTAAAATACATTGAACGTTGGTTGGATAACCGCATATATACTCTATACATTAACGCTAAACACCTAGAGGTGTACATATTCTTATATGTAGGGTGTGTGTGGCAGGGTGAGATGGGGGTAGCATCGTTAAGTGTTCGCTCGGTAGGCCAAACACCCGGGTTCGAATCCATGTATGGGTAAATTCTTGTATCGAACTATTATTAACTTCCTGGGCGGTATTTAGAAAGTATACTGTAAGGTTAAATGCTCCACATGAGCATTCGGTTGTATTGGCATGTCTCATTTATGCCAGATGAGGGCGCATTATACAACCAGGTACAGTCTTTCTGTTTTTGACTCTATGTTTAACAGACCTCATTATCCACGATAGGTCTGCCATATACTACATCACAATGTACTTATGGTGTTATTGTTCTAGCATCAGCTAAATGCCAATTTCAAGACAAAGAACATTCAGGATAATAACATTCAACAATGAAGTTTTTATTGAGGTGACATCATGGCCCAAAGATACTGCCAGAAGCAAGTGATAAATCCCCGCCTGTCAGGGATGAAGGGGGTCATTACTGTACTTAATTAATATTTCATCACACATGGTATACATTTGGTGGGCGAATACTTTGAGTAGACTAATGTTTTATATGGCAATTTAGAAGATAGTTATTAATTGCAGGATATTTACTAACGTGAACTTTAAAATGGATTTTACAGTGAACTTGTTCCTAAGTTCTGAGTTGGAGTCAATACATCTTCAACAGCATTGTAGCCTTTAAGCTTGTAGGACATACAATATATTTCATGATATTTATATTTTCATATCTGCCAGTCTCAACAGCAATCTTGGCATTGCAACATCTAAATCTAGGGTAGGATGTTCTCAAATGTTGAGGAAGGTCACCTATGCTTAAACACATTTCAATATTTAGAAGGGATTTAAACTAACTACAGTACAACAATATGATTTGCTTGTAAGGATGCTGCCATTACTGAAAGAGATTTAATCTTTGATTAAAAGTGCAACGAAGGCTGCTTGGTTTCCGATTTCGTGACTAATCCAGGCAAAGCCAAATCCAAATTTAAATGATTTTTTTATTTGTGTAGAATAATGTTTTACATGACAATTTAGAAAATTCAGTAATCATTGAATGAAAGCTCACGAAGAAGTATATTGACAACCCCCGTTTTTTTGTCATGTTTTTAATGTGTCACAATTAGGCATATGAAATAACCTGAAACATGCACTTGTCCGAATAGTGATATCAGAAACTGCCCTGCCCTCCAAAGCAGGAAATACTACTAGTCCATGGGATACTTTTAACATAAGATAAAAAGTTATAATAAAGCCAATTTGCATCCCTGATAATGTTTGTTTGTTTGTTTGTTTTTTAACGCCACACTCAGCAATATTCCAGCTATATCACGGCGATCTGTAAATAATCGAATCTGAACCAGACAAATCCATTGCTTGACATCATGAGCATCGATCCACGCAATTGGGATACGATGACATGCATCAACCAAGTCAGCGAGCCTGACCATCCAATACCGTTAGTCGCCTCTTACGATAAGCATGGGTTGCTGGAGACATTTTCTAACCCTGATTTTCACGGGTTGTTTTCAATGATCATACTATGTATGTATCTTATACTATTATCATTACTATCTACGCATTCTCACTGAATATATCTTTGTCTGTATATATATGCATCACACACACACACACACACACACACACACACACGCACGCACGCGCGCGCGCGCGCACTGTGCTCTGGCGACTTTTCTCGACTGCATTGTCCCAGATGAAAGCGGATCTACCTGCGCGCATGAATTCTTATATAAGACTAAACGAGGAGTATCATTCTTTACCATTAGATAAATATTCATGGTGATCTATATCATTAATATATATTATGAATTATCAGTGTAATGGAAATAAATATTTTGTTTCTTGTTTTACTATTCCAGCTATATAATAATCGAGTCAGGACGAGACGACCAGTAATTGATATTGTGAGCAATGCTTAACGCAGGGTACGATGCATGACATCAACCAAGTCACCGAGCCTGACCACCCGGTCCATTTGGGGGCCTCTTACGAACAGCATAGGTTGCTGGAGTGAGTGAGTATGGTTTTACGCCGCTTTTAGCAATATTGCAGCAATATCGCGGCGGGGGACACCAGAAATGGGCTTCACACATTGTACCCATGTCGGGAATCGAACCCGGGTCCGGCGTGACGAGCGAACGCTTTAACCTCTAGGCTGCTGGGGACCTAGTCTGACCGAAAATCCCTACGGTGTTTTAACTGAATTTCAGTTATACCCCAGCATGTCAGCTTGTGAGAGAAAAACACAACTGACGCTGGTCGAAGAAGCTTAAGACTTTGGTGAAACCCACAAGTACGTATAGCTGACAGTCTCCATTAAGTATAATATGTAAGTAAAGTGCCAAATTATGCTAAAAAATTCAAACACAAAAAACAGAAACAATTTTTTATGCATTCGGAATACACCAGGGAAAAGGAAACATTCATGTATATCTCGGATTTTTTTAATACAAATACTTTGGAAACAGGGACAACTATCGGTTTAGGTGTGGCTGGACTAAATATAATTTTTGGGTGAATCTGGAATTCGAAACAACAATCTTAGCACTTGGGTCAACAGTGTCCTACATCGGGAACGTACATCTCAGGAGTACAATATTTACAAAACTCATCAATGTCATCTTCATCCAAACAGTTTCACGGGAGTGGCATGTTAGATTTATAGTGTATATAGATGAAATAAGGATGAAAATGACACAACACAAACAATTAACATGTCGGGATATTCTCACACGTTATACAAATGTATGTACAGATCGTTGTTCAACAGATCGAAATGATATGCATACAGAAGGTTTGAGAATTATCAGTAATTATTATTGACCTCAAATCAATAGGGGCCATCAACCATGTAGTCCAAATGAGCGCAATGGTTTAAACATGTTGCAACTGTCTCATATAAATATATATACAAAATACCTTATCACCTCAGTGTAGATAAACGATAAAGGTGACCCCTGAGTGAATGAACACCTTAAAAAACATACTCATTATCAATAGATATATTGATACTTTTTTTATGTTAGATAGCTATGCAGTGGAGCATGGCAAAATGGCTTTATCAGTTCTTAGCAGCATGGGAACCGTATATCAAATTAGGAACCGACAATCGGAGGTGGTGGTATTCTTTTCATTGCTTTTTAAGACTGAAATAGTTTGTTTTCTCTCTATTGGAGCCAAAACACCTTTTTCAACGCATCAAGCATGTCCAGTTAACTGTGAGTGAGTGAGTTTGGTTTAACGCCGCTTTTAACAGTATTCCAGTCATATCACGGCGTGTCAGCTTAATGTGGGAGGAAAGCCCGAGGTGATGCAGGTCTCAGACGTTTACCACTTCGGTGAAACCCACGAGCACGGGTATGGTGCTGACAAACATATAAACATAATCGGGGCGAATCGGGATTCGAACCCACAAACATAGGTTTCTGGCGTGCCCAAGGGACGCAACTCTACACAGCGAATCGCGGCGCCTTAGACGACTGCCCCCCTCCACACAAACACACAGTTAACAGATATGGTCTGGCGTTCAGTACCGAGCCTGCTTCAATCAGGCCCGAGTAAACCCAGGGAGTTAAATAAGTGAAAACATTTTATTTCCCAACTACAAATGTTCAACATACAATTTAAATCCGCAGTTGAGGTTTCTATTGTCGATGTTGTTCTAGTTCCACCAGTATGTTGTCAATATCAGCGGTCGGCGCCCTACAGTGACTAGTGTACCAGTCATGTGGGTGCAGTTTCCCTTGACAAATCACTTGCTGGTATACATGCATGATACAATCAGCGAATTTCGAAAGAAAATCGTCGTCCTCAAATAAAGTTTGTCTCATCGTCTTGGGAATCTCCAGTTGCACTGATGATGTACCCAACATGGCGGACTGGGTTGACAGCGTGAACACTGTTGGATCTGGCCTAAAACCGGACATGATTGGGTTCATGTCTACAGAAAACGGCATGCCATTTTTCACAATACCTAGGGGTTCGAACATATTGGTGAAACTTTCTTCATAACATTTCATTAACCTTGTTACCATTTCCTTGTCTTTGCAATATGCTTTCATACCGCCCAAACCCACATCTAACGCCAAGTCGCTTCTTCTGTCCCGTTTCCCGTGAATATCAACATGGAGGAGAGGTAGTTTGACGTCACATCCGTAAGAGCGAAATGACTCCAAAGCTTGATGCCATGGGCATACAGGAAATAGATCCCTTGATAGGAAGTTTGGGTCTACGTTCCGTGAATCGTACGGCCTTGTTTGTGGAATATTCCAGACCATAAAACTCGCCGGGACACCGAACACCGTCGACATATGCTTCGCCAGTTTCAGAACGATTTCAGATGCCAATAATTCTTGTACGTGTTTCTCTTTCTTTCTACCGTCCCATCCACCTCTCCACAATGCTATCCCGTGTGGGGCCGTCAACAGTATTGGTCCACCTAATTTAAATATATACGTTGATGGGTTACTTTGTGCCATTAGTGTAGTATCTATGTTGCTTTCCTCAGCAATGCCTTTCAAACGCTCACTTTTCAGTTTCGAATCAGTCTGTGTTGGGTGCCGAAACGTGTTGTCAAGGCCCCGTGCTGCACGTATGTCTAGCGGACTGCATAGTGTTGCGTGACGGTAGCGCATCTGTGGTCTGCCACACTGCTGGACCAATCACTCCAGTCCCATGCTTGCATCTGTTCAAGGGAAGGTTTATTCATATTACATACTTCTCGGGCGTGCTATGATACGTACTATGATACCTTGGTTGGTTGGTTGGTTGGTTTGTTGTTTAACGCCGCACTCAGCAATATTCCAGCTATATAACGGCAGCCTGTAAATAATCGAGTCTGGACCAGACAATCCAGTGATTGATATCATGAGCATCGATCCACGCAATGGAGATCGATGACATGCATCAACCAAGTCAGCGATCCTGACCACCCGATCCCGTTAGTCGCCTTTTACGACAAGTATGGTTTGCTGAAGACCTATTCTACCCCGGGATCTTCACGGGTCATGATAACTTGGAATCCTGTTTAGTATGCAATGGTGTTTGGTCGAAACATTGAAATGTCATTCACAACTTAACCCTGTGTGAAAATGTACCTAACAGTTGCAGACCAATGGTAACCACTAAGAGAGGGACGTGAGCTGTAGGATAACGCATGTTATTCAAAATGACTTCACGTCAATGAACTGCCCATACCATTGGTTTCTTTTCTTTAACACTACACCAAAAAGAAAATGTTCAATGGCCCACTTATATCAGTTTCACGAAAGCTCAACGTATACAGAATCAATCCATATAGTACAATCCTCGAATATGTCAGGTAATTCATTTTCAAGAATCCTTTTATATAAGACAGGGGTAAAAATATGCTGTAGCGTGGCATTTTGCTAAAAGAAACGGAGAAAAGTGTAAAATAAAATAATGACCCCTTTCCTTAAATTCAGGTCTTCTTCTGAAAATGAATGTTAACATAATTCAACTTAAACTGTCAACTTTGGACAAAATCATAGACAAGATTTAAATTGCATATATATAAATTGTATATTATATATAAATATATATTATTTGCGATGATCACTACAGCAAGTGCATATAATATTCGCAGTGCCGAGTTTAGTTGTGTGGCATATATTGTAGCACAAACTCGGGATCCCAAGCAGTTGTTTGCTCAGGTCGACTAATGCTTGACGCTGTGTGTTGTAATAAATTCAAGCGCTTCAAACACAGACGTATATTGATATCTCTATATACATCTTTGAGTAGTCAGATATATGTTCATATGAGCAGTGTATTGGTGACACGAAACAAGATGAATTATACTTACTGTCAGTATGTTGTATGCACACCGTGGGCTATAGCATAGTCTCCAACCGGGAGTGGAAGTACATTGCCACGATTGTACATACATACCTTGTCCCGACCTGACCTAGATAACTGTTATCATAACCTAATATTTGAGACTATTTGTGCATGAAATGAATTAATCATGATGGAAATAGGGTGAAATATGCACTTGGGTGACTGCATTCAAACTAAGGTAAAGCTTGCAGCATGGTTCATAATTCGTACTTCATGACCAAGTGTTTAATATGCATTATTCGGCAAAATCACGACTGCCTGAAAAATAGTTGTAAAAGTTATCACCAAACGGTTGGTAGAGCAAGACTCAATTAATACCATTGCGGGGGACACTTTTACAAATTTAATCGCATGGTTGAATAACTGCAAACGCACATCGTTCGCATCAAACAAGAATTGATACTCGTTGGTACATATTTCCGATCCATCCTTTCACAATACCAAGTCAAAGCATATCGAAGTAAGAGCGAGGTTAATATGTAACTTATAAAGTTACTTTATTTACAAACTAATACGACCAACGTGGATAAGATAACTATAAGTTTCTACTCGCCATCATAATAATTCAGTTAACAGTCTCAAAGTGATCTACCCGTGAAGATCCGGGGTAGAATAGGTCTTCAGCAACCCATGCTTACCGTAAAAGGCGACTTGCTTGCTGACGGGGTTAAACTCTTTGGTCATGTGGACAAGGCGTCCGACCTCTGATCAGAAGGTCCGTGGTTCGAATCCCATCACGGAACTCGGACATTTTATGGCCGCTACACATACACACCGTAATTTCCTGGGAGATAGTTGATTAAAATCAGTAAATTCATCACCCGGAAAAGTATTATCGGGCGTCCTGTATGTCAGACAAAAAGACTTTGATACTGTCCAACATACCCAACACCGTATGTTATAAATAAATATTATGTGTCAAAGTTGCGAGTCGTTAAGAGCTACATTATTTATTCATGAAACTAAAACCAATCTAGATAATAGAAAATCAAGTCCAGTCAGCTCTATTCCACAAATCAGCGTCCGGAAAAAGATATGGTTTAGAGTAGAGGCCTAATGAGTAATATAATAGATTGATTCCATAGACTAAAAATAAGGCTGTCATGTAAAGAGAAATCCTCGAATTTAACCAAATGAGATTTAAATTTAAATAATAGTGACTTACTACATGGAAACGGGAAATCCTGTATTTGTCTTTATAATTCTGTTGATTCGTTCATATTGTGAATCTTGTTTGTGCCTATCATTGCGAACCTATACTATATACAAATGACGCACGTCTTGTAAAGTAATGTTTGGGCTTGTTTTTGGTTACTTGGTAGTTGGTACACAGTTGTGTGTTGTTTTTTTACAAACACGTGTTTGATGGTCAGTCACCTTACATTGTAATGTTATAGTAAAGGTTATTCATAAGGGAGTGAGTGAGTTAAGATTTAACGTCACATCGGCATTATTTCAGCCATATCGTGACGATTATTCATAAGGACTCACGCCTATTCCATATTATTGTTTGTCCAATATCGTATCGGCTTGTCTGGACATCCTGCATGATATATTCTGATGGTTCCAAACATTTTGAGCAGGTTCGCTGATATCACTCACCAGTTAAACCTTACAAAAACGACACTAAAATACAATCGATACGGAAATCCCCCATAAGGTACATGTCCAATTCTCTTGAATGTCACCGATCTTTAAACATTGATATATAATACATACTTATAACATGTTCCTGTGTAAATTACATACACATTAAAAATTCTGAGTGATGAATCAGCTGACTGCACCCTACAGATCCATCACAAACACATATCAAACTTAGTGAAAACAGAGCAGCAGTTATGTGTTGCTTATTCTGGTCTTTCTTCGCCATGCCGTTTCACCTTTATTAATATTATAATGTTACGATGGTTGTGGTGCTGTCGCAATATTTAATCTTTGGTCATCCCTCTCTCTCTCTCTCTCTCCAACCAACCAACCAACCAACCAACCAACCAACCAACCAACCAACCAATTGAGTAATAATAAATGTTCATATATTAAAATCATCTTGGTACAACTTGGTACGCCACAATACCATTTGACCTGCTTTGTATCTTAAATTTAACAAACGATTTTCAGAATTTACATTTCAATGAAAATCTTGAAACTTTTTTTCACAATTGGCTTAATATTTTACTTTTATCGGTTTCTTTTACCAATGCTACCCTATTTTAAAAATATTCATACGCAAAGAAGTTGAGAAATATTCTTCTTTTTGTGGGCATAGAATCGAAATAACTAACAAACAATTATAACGTACTAAGAATTTGAGATCGTGGGAAAAGACACATATCATAATATGTAATGTCAAGAAGTGTAATAATATGCCGCTAATTTCCAACGTTTCATTGGTAGGCTAGCCTAATGTATCAAGCAAAAACATGCCCAAGATCAATATAGAATCGATTCGTAGTCAGTACTAGCCACTGCATCGTCTGTTAAGCAATTGTAAATCACTGTTCCGTCAATGAAACCTGAAACAAAAGTGTTTTGATAGTTAACTTATTATATAGTCTTTATGTGACTTACATCACTAGTCAAAGCAACAAGCGTTGCCGCGTATCGATAGATAGGCCATCTGGGATATTTTCCAATTACAACGTCCAGAAATTTGTCCTCAAAGGCTTAAAATGACGAATGAAACTGACAGCTGAATTATGACCCTTACTGACAACGGCCATAAACATACAATGCACCTGCCCCGTGGCCAGAATTAACTGGCAACGCCTGTAACGCTGCCTTGCCAATCAACGCTGGAAGCGTAATACCTACCACGTGACACTCCGGAAGCGGAAATACGACTTTGGGTAGACTTTTAAATCTTCAACACACGCAAGAGTTTCACACTGCAAGATGTCTGCCGCCGGTCAATGGGAAGTTGTTGGCAAACCTAAGAAGGAAAAGGCACCTTCTAGGCCAATGACTAAAACACAAATTAAGCAGTTTGTTGAAAACATGCCAAGGATCGAAGATGACGGTAATAATTTTCTTTAGTTGTTCTAACTTGATTCATGAGCTTGACACATGTTGAAGTTCTGCATTTACATGATCTACGTCATCACTTTAGACTGTCATCTCCACAGGCAAACACGTTTTTCGAAACTTGAATTTTTTGAAAACTTACTTTGATTATTACCCATCAGTTTCTGTCACTATAGTACAGTACTGAAAAATATGCGCTCTACAAAGATCTCAATCGTTTTTTCAGTACCGGTGTTTTTATGAATTTGTGTTGTGCAATATGCCATGACCATTGACATGCAACAAAATGTTTAGAGTGATCGGCTGGTAATTACTAGTGTTAAAAATGAAACTGTTGATGATATCGATATTTTAAAAAATTAGAGCATTCTGTATCATTCATGTAACTAACCAGCTGATAATAAATAAAATATCAAAACTCTTGAAAATATATTGGCAAGAATGCAGTATACCGAACACCTTCCGCCATTTAGGTAAGGGATGTGCACAAGCTCATTCCTTAGTAATGCTTTCTAAGTTTTTCAGACGTCATTTTTGTCACCTAGTTAAAATAACATGGGGTGTGGGGGACCTGCCCCCCAATCAACAGCTTAAATGCTTTCGTAAATGAATGTAATGTTTAATTACCAAAGTAGATACAAACTACGAGATGTTCACTGAAATGTGTCTCGGATCATGTTGTTACACGCAATTATGAAACTTATATTTTCTAGTACTTTTTTGATGTAGATGTCCATTTTTCAACGTTTGTGCATCGCTTTGATATTCATTTTCAAGGTTTTATCATATTCAACCATACAAATGCAAGGGGGTAGGGGTGTGTGTCTTTTTTTCTGCCTATTTTTCATATACTGATGCTGTCACATGCGGCTTTATTAGTTGCATCAAACAAACATGGCAGATAGGTGTCCGGTTTAATACATGTGTACCCATGTATTTTTCTTTTATGAACACCCCAAAATTAAAAAGAGTCTATATAATTATTATTAAATTTATATTGATCATGACAATGAATGAAGTTGACTACTGGAAACAGATGTTTTTAATTACACTTGTTTTTAATAAGTAATTATTGCTTAATGGTAATTATGAACATGATTAGTTTTTTGTTTGATGTTTTTTTTACCGCATATCATGGATACACAGCCATGATTGCGTAGTCATGAAAATTATCTTGTGATTGTTGGTTCGGATGCCATATTACCTTTGATTAATGTATTGTATAATTTCAGATCCAGTAAAAGAGTCACATACAATGTTTGATGCATTCATTACTAAGGAGAAAAGACCTGATGAACGTGCAAACAATGTAAAGGCTAATGGTGTCTCCAACATGTCCAAGAAGGTCACACAGCCCAAGAAAAAGAAAGCAGACCCAGAAAAGAAGGAAAGCAAACCAAAGTCGCTTGAGGAGGCAGTTGCAAAGGTACAGAATTCTTTTGTTGAACATCCTGAAACAATATCCTAAATTGTTACATGTAAATTATGATACAATCATATATTTTTAGACAATAATAATTCAAAATAAGAACATCTTCCCTAGGCAAGGGAATCAAAATTCTGTAGCAATCAGCATCTGGTTCATAAACAACATGGAAAATGCCGTGCCAAATTTGTTTCATAATGCAGGATTTGTAGAACATTTATATGTTAACTCTGCGTCAGCAGATATTTTCCAAATGTTTTCCATGAGATCGTCCTGACTGGGAACCACCATATTTTTTTTAAGCAAATACAAGTGATGTGAGAGGTGGAATCTGATTGGTCAGTAGGGGTCCTACATAGGACAATCTATGTTCTTCTCTTAAGGCTTAAAAATATAAAAGAATTGGTTCTCAGGCCTGTTCTCCCACTTGTTTTGTTCAAACTAGTAGTTACCAAATAAAGAGTTGTGTACAATCAACCTGGGAAAGGGCCTCCCTTCATAAGTGTATTTTTTGATAAGTAAGATCCTGGAATATAGTATTTGACTACTGTTTGACTACCAGTGTGTGCATAATACATGTGTACAATGAGCTTTGATTTTATTTCACAACAAAGACATTATCGTGAGCACACAACACAGGAAGTAACAGTTCAACAAATTGTACTGAAGTAGTGCGCAAGTTAGTCCTGTTATAACACTATCTGGCTATAAAGGTGTTCATTGTGTATCTGGACTTATGTTTGTACTCCATTATATTACTTTTTACCAAGATCTCATTCAGTTTTGTTTACATTAATTTTGGCAAAATCGTGTATGAACTGATCGACAAAACAAATCAACTCACCATGAACTCTTCTTGTACGAACAATAGTTGTAAGAGATAAAAGGTTTTCGGTCTTCCTATCACTGTATTGAAATTACTACATTTATTATTTTGTCCATGACATTAAGTATTTATAAATATTTATTGTTAAAACTAAATCACCCTTATATCGGGGAGAAAATGTGTTCACAGCTAATGGCTAATTCAGGCTTATCTTACGAGACAAATACACATGTAATCTTAATCTCTGCGAAACATTGTCTGGCGTACAGTACACAAATACCACAGAATTTGTAAATCATTATGTCTAGTTATGTTTTATCATAAATTTCATGTTTTCATTGACCAAGTTTGCAAACCGCAAAATAAGTACACAAGTTCCTAGCGCTGGCATGACCATAAAACAAGATGTGCAGTAAAGCAAAGCGCATGTAAAGGGAAGTAACTGCACGCTATATTGGATAGCTTTGTTTTTAAGTATTATAGCATTTCACTGCCAGGGTCGTGTTTCTAGACACTGAATATTTAAGGAATTATTTGTTTTGAAAATGGAAATAAAAACGAGATTGGGACTTGGGATTAGTGGCTGTGTCTGAGACCATGACTCTTCTTTTTTTTTTTTATAAGGCATTACACATGCATTGTATTTTGTTAGCTGTTAGTTCATGGTACAGTGGGAACTCAGGAACACCATATTAGTGCCAAATGCCCCCAAAACTGAGAAGTGAGTCCCCAAGACCCGCAAATATACAGACCCAGGTAATCCCTGTATCAAGTTTAATAATATTAGTGTTCTTTGTCTAACAGACATCATGAGCAGTGTTGACATCAGCAACTTTTATGGCAATGACTGGCACTTAAATTTTTATATGGATCTATACCACCATGGTTCTTCACAATGAAACCTTCTTTTTTTTAGATTGATAAGGCTGATTTGCAACTGATTTTTAATCAGTCACATGAAAGCTTTCCAGAGAATCCTGACGTGTGGTTGAAAGATCTGGCATCATTCTTGAATCTCAAACTGGAAAGAGTCCCTGAGAATGATGCTGTTTTCAAGGATAAACCGAAAGGTACTGATCACTTATGTTATCTCCAATGAGTATGTTTTTTTGTAAGCTGAGGGAGCACAGGTGACCAATGGTCTAAGGCAGCACAATGATTGTCCTGTGCTGAGTTGTCTCCCTTATTTTCCCAGATCTGCTGGTCATTGGTTTCGAATTCCCGATGGGTCTGATGTGATCTTTGGTTACACCTCATGATCTATGGACTTCTGTTTCCTACCACATTAACCTGAGCTATAACTGATTACTGTTTGAAGCAGTGTTAATCCAAAATCACTTGTTTCAGAGAGCCATCTTTCCTACTGAGCTGTTGTTCTTAGTGGAATTCTGTTTTGAAACAGAATCTGAATACAAATTGTTTGTTAATTAAATTATCAAAACGTTAATGAATCATGTGAATAAGAATCTTTGCTAAGGTATTATGGATAAAACTTTGGGAATCATGATTTAAAGTCAGTGAGGTCCGTTAAACATAACATGCAATGTATTTTGTGGCATTGCAAGAATCAGATAACTGCCTAATTTTGTAACATGCCTCCAAAGTCAGTAGCCAATCAATGCAGAGTAGCATGTGACAAAGTTGAAAGGGCCTGTCAATCAAGGCAAGGTGCAAAAACCGAACTACAATGTGTGACAAATCATAACAAACTCTACTCAACATTGAGCAAGTTCTTCCACAGGCGTAGGCATATATACAAAGGGAAACAACTCCCAACCAGAGTATGAACTAATATCGGCTGCCTCATGAGTTATCAAAAATTTTATGGTCAAATTCTATTGCTTGCAGGCACCTTCCATGTTTCATCCTCCCAAGGCAAGGGAGATAACTGGACTTTTAAAGTCAGTTAACTCCCTTGCCTCGGGAAGATGTCCACGTGTTTCCTTCCCATATTATATCTAAAGGCATGTTGTTTCACACTTTTCTCAGGGTAGACTTGGATGGAAATGCTATATAAGGCTATTGAATTGATAGTTATATGGATAGTTATCACAATTAAGAACATTTATGACATGAAATCTGTGATGCACTCATTTTTTCCCCCCGAAGTGTCCAGTTGAATTGCACAGTTATACAAAATGAATGTCAGTGTTTGATTGTGAAGCAACTTATTCATTTTTAGACTTATCCTTTCTCAAACTACACACTTCTCGTTCTTTCAATCCTATGTGGAAAGGTGCTTGAACAGATATTTATCCAGTTCTAAAAACAAATCACTGGGACACATCCCAGTATCACCATGGTCACTCCCCAGACAAATGGATCCTGTGCATAGCGACCTACATGACCTGATCACATGACTATCTCTGCCACATCATTCGCTGATGGGGACTTCTCCGACAACGCCCAGTCCACATCGGCAAGAGTATTCAGCAAGCCAGCTTCCAGCTTTGATGATTATTTGTAGATTTTACGTGCGCTTTCCCACATTATGTTAATTTCACACACAACTTCCGGCTCTACAGGACACAGTCGGTACGTAAGTGTCCAAACAAGCTCTAGATTGTCTAGGTCAAGATCCAGGTATCGTCACATTTTCGTATGACCTCTGTCGCATTACTTTGATCAATCATCCGGCCAGGAGACCACCACATTTCCACCAGTTCATTTTCGAAGACTGCAACTACCTAAGGAATGTGCTCCCAATTGGAATTTTTCAGCCCCGTGGCTTTTTAGCTGTATAACCAAACCGATCACAAAGTTACTGCACTTTAAAAGTCCAGTCTCCACCCTTGTCGAACTAGGCTGGAATTCCTGGGCTCGGTCGTAGCGCCACATTTGGCTATTATGAGTTATGTACCTTCCATGCCACTCCTATGGACCAATCAGATTCCACCTCTCGTATCACTTGCATTTGCTTCAAACAAAATGGCAGCGCCCTGTCAATACGATCTGATCGATAATCAAGATCTACATTGTGATAAAACAAGACTTACTCGAAAATATCTGTTGACAACGAGTTGGCGGGGCACAAATCCTGCAATCTACCGAAATCGGCATGACAGTTTATGAACCGGATTTCGATTCCGTTGCGCGATTTTGATTGGACTAAGCATAGACTGTAACTCCATAATACCAGCCTAGTTTGGCAAGGGTGGAAACTGGACTCCCGGGAAGATGACGCTATATGCCCTCCCAACCATTCCCGCATCCTCCTCAGGCTTGTCAGCTCTAAGAAAGAGAATGATGTGGCAGAGAAAGTCATGTGATCGGGTCGTGGTAGTCGCTATGTACAGGAGTATGTCTTTCGAAGCTGGGAACTTTTGTTCAAGAGCCTTTCCACATAGGATCGAAAGAAGAAGTGCATAGTGTGAGATAGGATAAGTATTATAAATATACAAATTGATATAAAACTTACAAGATTTAAATACACACCATTTTGGCAAGTTTGCTCAGGGACTACTCTTAGCTGGTCTGGAGCAGTGGTATATATCAACTGTAGCTTACAATTATCTTAGCCTACAATCAATTTGCACAAATGGATGGCATTTGTAGCCAAGCATAAGATCGCGATCTTGTGTAAATGAATGCAAAAGAAATCAACCCATATAGCCAATCAGATTGCAGGAGTTACAATAAACACACAATATTTATTCATTACAAAATGGCATTTATTAATATTTTGTCGTACCTAGATTTCCCCTTGTGTAAGCTGAGCAAGAGTTGCCAGGAAGTGTTGATCTCCTCCATGAAGAAATGTTCAGAACAAACACTGGAACATCTCTTCTATCACTGTCTACAGACTATGATCAGTGAGGCTCAGAAAGGTGAGTTTAGAGTACTGCTCTTACTACTGCAGGCTAGATGTATGTGTATGTCAATGTACAAAAATGTAGTTGAGATGATATCAAGTTTTGTCAGATCATGTGACCCATGATCATGTACATCTTCTAACTGTTTGTCTGTTTATGAGCAACTCAAACAATTGCATGGAATTTTAATGTTATTTTCTGTCTTGGAAATAAGCTTTTTATTCTCAAGGTTAACTTTTGGCATGATGATAATAAAGTAGCTAATGTTATGACTAGTGTTATCATGGTAATCACACTGTTTCTTTCAGGACTGGCAACCTATGGCTACAGAATGTTCCTCCAGTCTCTGGCCTTTCACAAACCAGAGATCCCTCTCTCGAAGTTCCCACAGGTGCGTGTTGATGTGTGGTCTTTAAATTGCTTTGGTATCATTTGGAATTACAAAGGAATCTCTACAAAAACATTAAGGCAACTGTCAGTGTTTAGATTTACATGCTTCTCTGATACTGTCCTATAACCAACGTAACCATGATGCCTTCAGTACCTGGACCTGCTCAAGACCCACCACAACAGACCTGTTCGATGTCTGAGTATCCTGTGGGCTCTCGGTCAGGCAGGTGTCAAGAGACTCAGGTGTGGTCTCAGAGGTGGGTAATCCTTCTGTATGAATAAACTATTAAAGATCAGTATTGCATTTTCTAAGGGCTACATATCTTTTGCATATTAGGGTAGAGGAATAGTTTATCCATACACTCAGTATATTCAATATTTTTGTGCAGCTACTTTTACAATCTGTTTTTAATTTTGAGCTGAAAACACCAATTCCATTCATTAATGCACGCCCCCTAACTTGCTTGCATGGACACAGAAGTGTCCCAGGGTTTATACATCAATATGTAATCTAAAAGCACAAGAAGTGTGTCACACTGCACAGATGCCCTTTCCATACTGATTTGTGCATGTGTTAGGTCACCTTTGGTAACATGGTGTAAGGAGACAGATTCTTCATAGATGTTTACTTCCAAGCTCATGACATAGTTAACTGTTATACGTCATATTCTATTGGTTTGTTTCCCAATGAGTCCAATCAAATTCAGTTCAATGTAGAAAACAGCAAACATGTTGAAAAACCACTGAAGTCAACTTTGTCGGCATTCAGTGTCAGATTATGTATTGATTTAACATGCTAAGTTACAAAGGTTATACTTTGAAACAGACTTAAAAATGCTTATGTTTACCACTCTACCAGGTTGTTTCTTTTTATGATATTGATATATATATTTTTTTTCCGTTTGTCTTTGGGGAAAAGTATTACAATGATTTATGTTGGAAAATAATGTCAAATTCTGGATGCTTTCAAAATCCTGTATTTATTCATGGTCTGAAAAATTATTTGTGCACATATTGAAGATTGAAAAATAGGCAACATACAATCCATAATTTCTGTTTTCTGGTTTTGTCATGTAAGATGCCATGTGATTGTAGTGTGGTTGGATCTGATGATGCCAGCTCTGGGTTACCGCTCCATTGCTCCTTACTGTGTGGAATACCTGGAGAATTTGTTCAGGTGAGAGATTTACTGTTCAAGTGTACGAGACACATAATTGATTTAATATCATCAGTATACAACACATGCAACTTGAAATTGATCTTGAAGTTGTAAGGAGTCAAGGACACCTTTGTTGTTTGCATTTGCCCATTTACTGTTACTTTAGTAATTTAGTTAATTTCCTTGTTACCAGCTGGCATAAAGAAGTGCGTCCAGCATTTGGGTCCATGTCCCTGCGAGACTACTTCCAGGTCCTTGATATATTGTTCAACCCTGGCACCAACATTCAGGGAGACCTGAGGAAGAGGCTGCAGGCACAGTATCCTAAAGTGAAGGTGAGATGCGTTAAATGTTAAAAGTTACTTAAAACGCCTACTTATATCCCAGGGTGCCGTTGTACAAAGCAATCTTAGCCCTAAGGTGATCGTAACTCCCATACCTTTACATAGACTTACGACAGTCATAGCGCTAAGGTTGTTTTGTTCAAAGGCACCCTAGTACATAATTTTGGCATACTATTAACTGTTACTGAGCTCAAGACCACTGATTATATAACAAGAAACAACTGAGTTTGCCCCCATGATAACAGGATTATGTGTGAGAAGATTTTGGCCAACCTTGTGAAACATGATACAGGCTACAGTAGTTCTACAAAAATCTCCAGTACACCAGCACCTCAACATATTTGAAGGGCAACTTTATCACTGATCACTCATATAATATTTTTTATAATCATATTTCGTTCTATTATTGCCGCTTCTTTTGCCAATTTGTAAAATAGTCCTCACATTGAATTATTATTAACATTATTACATTAACTGTAAGTAGCATACCCTGACCTGGCTACAAAGTTGTGTTACTGTTGCAGGCCATAGCATTCGGAGAAAACCCAGCCAAGTCTTTGAGGAACTTCTTCCCATCATTTCTCTCAAGGGCATCCCCGTCATGTGTCCCACAGCTGAAACATGAGGTGAGAGTATAGGCATCACCATGACCTCATCATCACTTTATACATATACTACTCAAAAGAAGTTAAGAATCACCCGATTCTTTCATAATGGTAAAGTTAATCTGTCATGACATGAGAGATTAACTATAGTAATATGAAAGAATCAGGTGATCCTTAACTTCTTTTGAGTAGTATATTTCACCTCGGACATATTGAGGAGACCATGAAATTTATTGATTCATAACATTTTGTGATTCCGCGGCACAACAGGTGCTTGTTGTAAGAACTGGCTTGCTGAGTATGAGTTCTAGTGATTTAAGAATTAGTTTCAGTTGGATCTTTTTGCCAATTTCAGTAATTAAATTGGACTTAGTTTTTATTGTTTTAATTCACTGACCAAACCTGTTTAAATAGCTTGCTGAAAAAATGGTGAAACCATTTTTGAGGAATTTGGGAATTTGATTATAATTTTGGTTTCAAATTTGACCCTAAAGTTAAGAGAGAAACAATTTGTAAACAATGTCCAGGAAAAAAACTACTGTCATTCAAATATTGTTTTCATTTGCTAGCTGTTGTCCAACTTGATGACATGTCTGCTGACGGACAAGCAGACATTTTCAACGTGGTGTCAGATGTACACAAAACATCTGCCTCAGTCAGGGTAGGTTGCTCGACTCAAGGAGTGTGTGTACCTTAGGTTGGATGCATATGATTCATATGGTCCTTTTGTGTAATCCAGGAATACTCAGCATATACATTGTCACAAGTTGAACCAAACGTTTATATCAGGTAGTGATCCTTGTGTCAGGAAAACTATTGTATATTAATGTGTATTTTGTGAATCAATACATAATTAAATGTCATGAAATATCAAGTTAAGTTACTAAGCATGAAATAAATATAAACCAGCATGCCCAGTTATCCTGACTATGACATTTCCCCCTGCCCTTCTAGGGTCCTGCTGGAACACATCAACAGCAACTGGGGCACACTATGCAAGAAAGTGGACAAGAAAATGCTGAGGGAGACACTGAGATCATTCGCTGTGACAAATGATGAGATCGCATCACAGAACCGCAACGTCCCAGAGGGCCATGAACACTGTGCTGTAGTCTGCAGGGTCAGTTCTCATAAATTACTTTAAAGCAGTGCTTAAGAAACCTGTATACATGTATTTTGAAATAATTTAGCTAAACAGATATTGGACATGTTGGAATGTGGATAAGTTTAGTGTTTTTCTGTTTGCAGGAGTTGCTTCTGAAGTTAAGTCAGAGCCCGTTTCCCTGGTTCACTCTGATCTTCTCCATCGTCCTTGTCATTGGAGGCATTGTGGGTTATGACATGTACACAAGCCCCAGCATTGAACGTAAGTCTAATCAAAATGGATGTTTTATTTACACGAGGTTGTTATCATCATGGCCGTTCGCCCCAATTATGTTTCTAGGTTCGTCAGCACCATACCCGTGCTTGTGGGTTTCACCGAAGTGATAAACGTCTGAGACCTGCATCACTTCGGGCTTTCCTCCCACATTTAGCTGACACGCCGCGATATAACTGGAATACTGTTTAACCCAACTCTCTCACTGTTATCATCGTGGGATCGGTGGGGTAGCCTGGTGCTTGAAGCGTTTGCTCGCCACCCAGAAGACCAGGCTTCGATTCCCCACATGGGTACAATGTGTGAAGCCCACGTGTGTATCCCCTGCCGTGATATGGCTGGAATATTGCTAAAAGCGGCGTAGAACTATACTCACTTTCACACAGTTATCATGTTTGTTAGTCTAGTTTGCAGGGCAGTGAATCAGTAATGATACCTCTCCAAAATAGTTACCATGTAGTTGATCATATAGAAATCAGGTGATCAAGATCTATGTATTTCTTCAGGCTCTCGGACGGTGACGTTCCTGAACAAGTACGGTATCCTGGCTGTCCTGGAACAGGCCTGGAAGAAGATTCAGATGTTCTTCTCTAAAGTGATTGGGTAAATACACTATCTTCATTTCACAATCACAAACCACATCGTGTTGTGTTTCACTGCAATATACATGTTATTGCAGGAGATTTTGGTTGTTTGTTGTGTTAACGCCACACTTTGCCAAATTCAGACTGTCTTCATTAATCGAGTCTTGACCAGGTGATCCAGTAGATAGACAACATGAGGATCGATCCACGTATTTGGAGATGCATCATCCTAGTCAGCGAGTCTAAACCTGATCCCGTCAGCCGTCTCTTACAACAGGCATGGGTTCCTGAAGAATGGGGATTGCATGGAATGAACAGTTAGACTAAATATTAAAGAACATTTTCATGATCCCAGGGGGCATGTGTGGCCCATTTGTCTAAGGTGCCACAATTTGCTGACCAGAGTTGCATCCCTTGGGCACACCAGAAAACTACGTTGGTGGGTTCGAATCCCGGTTCACCACATTAATATTTGTCTGCACGTGTCCCGTGCTCGTGGGTTTCACCAAAGTGGTTAACGTCTGAGACCTGCTCCACTACTGGCTTTCCTCCCACATTAAGCTGACTCGCCATGATATGACGAATACTGTTCAAAGTGGAGTTAAACCTAAATCACTCACTCACTCATTTCTTCTACAAATATTCACTGGTGGTTATATTTGCAGCTGGCTGAGGGAGAACGTTCCACTGATGTATGCCAGTGTATGCGGGAAAGTGAGTCCGTACTTGACCCAAGCATGGAGAAAGTCATCGGAGTTTGTTCTGTGGAGCATCGACTCCAGCAGACCCTACAGGCAATATGTGGTGGCCAAAACAGTTCAAGCAGTTGAATGGGTAGGTGTACAGAAAACATATGCTTGAAGATGGAGTGTGATTGTACAACCTTATTGACTGTAGTACCAGTATGTATTACTTCCATAACTTTTTATGATTGTGGGTTTGAATCTTGGTTTGCCCCGAATATGTTTCTAGGTTTGTCAGCACCATACCAGTGCTTGTGGGTTTCACCACGGTAAACATCTAAGACCTGCATCACTTCAGGCTTACCTCCCACATCAAGCTTACAAGCCGTGATATAACTGGAATAATGTTCAAAGCAGCGTTAAACCCAACTCACTCACTCACTCCATAACCTCTTGGTTTGAAGACAGCAATACTTTAGTATGTTTTGTGTTGAATGATCTGCTTTCATTAGGAAAAATGAGGTTTATGGGATAGACAGACAATGACAATACTTTATTACCTGCAAGGAAATTCCTTTGACAAGTGAAAGGCATACGATAAATAATATACATAATAAGATAGCAATAAAAAAACATTTTGAAGAGATACATAGTGATGTTTTTGTTGTTCAATGCCGCACTCAGCTTTAGAGCATAGATCTTGGCAATTGGGATTCTATGACATGCACCAACCAAGTAGGCAAACATGACCACCCGATCCTGTTAGTCGCCTCTTATGACAAGCAAGGATTATATGTATCCCAAATTTTCATGGGTGAGATACATAGAGAATACTCCACTCATTTTCATCATTTTCATCCGATGCCATTTTTGCAAAATGAGTGGAATTGCTCTGGTATCTGATCAAGTGAAATACACACAGGAAACGACACTGATAACAAAAAAAAACCATGAAATATGAAATGACCTAAGTATTGCAGCACTAACAACCATTTAATAACCAAATACTTTTAGGTATAAATTTTTGGGGGGATGTGTTTGTTCTAAGATATCGCCACCCAGAAGGTAAAAGAAAATACTCTCAATGGTTATCTTGCACTGAACGTCAAAAAGCATGGTGTGTATGTATGTGACAACTGAAATGCTGAGTCTGTCAGATGGCCAAAATGGTTTACAAGTAGGAAATCCTGATAAGACCATAACCTAATAATAATGTGTAATCCATCCTGATGGTGTGATTCACAGGCTTGCCATGACCTATTACATCAAGGAGAGACAACCTGTGAAGGTCCGGGGTAGAGTAGGTCTTCAGCTACCCTTGCTTGCTGTAAAAGGCAAACAGGATCGGGTGGTCAGGCTCGCAGAATTTGTTGATGCATGTCATCGCTTCCCAATTGTGTGGATCGATGCTCATGATGTCAATCTCTGGATTGTCTGGTCCAGACTCGATTATTTACAGACCAGTGTTATATAGTTGGAATATTGCTGAGCACTGCGTTAAACAACAAACAAACAAACAAACAAACAGGAAGAGACATTCCCTTCAATATTTCGTTCTGGATCTATAACAATAACAAGTGTACAATTGTATTTACTTTCAGCTACACGCACTGAACCCCGACTTCTGGTCTCGACTTGGAGGGTACTTGTGGCTGTGTTGGGGATTGGTGAAAACCTACTCATTATGGTTATGGAAATACATCCTACACATAGCAGGCATTGTGTACACCTGGTTGTTACAGAACGTTTTGGTGTAAGTAGTCTGTAGTTGACGTTAATTAACCTGGATGTGTAAGATGAGTACATGACATGTGTAGCCATGAGTTGAACGTATTCCATTGAATGGGTGTTGTACCTAGAGAGCTTTGGGTAGCCTAATAGTTAACACCTGGACTTGTCCACGGAGGCACGGGTCGCTGAGTCTGTGCCGAAATTTACGGTGCAGATTTTCGGTCCTTTGGGCATGCAAGAAAGCTATGGTGGTGGGTTCGAATCCCGGTTCACCCGAGCCAGAGATTTGCATCACTTCGCGCTTTCTTACCACATGAAAGAACAGGAATACTGTCAAAAGTGGAGTTAGACCAACCTCCCTTCCTCCCTCACTCACTGGTTTGATTTCCCAGACTTCAGTTGGTGGAGCATATTCTTCATGTCTCCAGCTTACAGAGTCTGCTGAAAACATATTGTCCGTGTACTAAACTGCAATGATGTTGCGAACATGTAGCCTATGTTTTTTAAAACTCACATACCGTATTCGACGTAATAAGCGCCCCGCTCTAATAAGCGCCCATGGCGATATTTGCTAATATATTGGCCAGTGAACAATGCCAATTAGCACCCCTTCCGATTGATCAATGTACACAAGACTTATTTACTCGCGTATACTACGCACTCGTGTGCTATACATGCTATATGCACCCTTAATTATGGGCAATTAAATTCTGGAAAAATATATCTGTCGTATATAAACATTTCAGGCTGTCAGCATAAACCACGAAATTTATCTTTCAATTCTGTTTTTTTCCACCAAAATATTCTAATAAGAGCCCCCTATTTCTAACTTTGAGAGCGCCCTGGGCGCTTATTACGTCGAATACGGTATGTTATTTTTGGGACATGTACTTCTGCAATGTTCTGAGTTGTTACTTTCTTTCTCTTCCAGGGGAAAGTTTACACCTGAAAATATTCACCAAACAACGTCTTGGAGCCTTTCAGTAGTGCAGAACTATACAGTTACATTTGTGGGCTGGTGTAGTAATGTTCTTACACAAATAACAGCCAATTAAGACTCAGCATTGGAAGAGGCTGCAGCTCTTGTCTCGCCGCGGTGGTTGGGTTCCGCTCGCTCCAGCTTTACAGTGTTAACTATGAAAACAGTCAAAGCAACAATATGTTGAAAATTTTGTCATCAAAGAATGTATGCATTACATTTATTTGTTCATGTTCTTTTCTCAATGCAAGTCTCTTGTTCCTCACGTTCCAGTTTATATTCTTTGGCTGAAAGTTGATATTCGATACCCATCATGTTTCAGGTGATAGCGATTTTGCTGATATTATAAACTTAAATCAAACATATTAAGATGATCATTTTGGAAACTTCATGTTATTTCCTGCTGACTAGTAGGTTGTTGTTATTAATATATCTTTTCAAAGGCCCAAATAGGTTATGTAGAATCATCAGTGGCTAGAACAATGATGAAACTTTAGGATTTGTTATGATAATTCGTGTTAGTGTTCCAGAAATGTTCAAGTAATTTTTTTGTAAAAATGTTTTAATTACGGTCACAGTATTATTATTCTGGTTTCTGTTAGAACACTTTTAGTTTCATCTTAGTATGGTAAATATGATTCATAATATCCCAAGTATGAGGATGCATTTTATTTTTTCCTGAAACTATACCTCATGAGTGACTTGTTAAAATATAGTCAGTCACATTTGAAGTGTTAAAAGCATCTGGTTACTGTAACCTGGCTATTTGCCTAATGTGCTAGGGTAAGCATTGTAAGATTTCCTATACAAAGTTTGGTTCATACCTATTAACTTATTAAATACATCCTGTAAGTAGAATAGTTTTCACCCTCACTTTATTTGGCATAAGGTATTCCACTCTTGAGGAAAACATTGTAAATATCAGTTCCAGCAAATATTGCCTCATGTTGATATTACATACGCACCCCATCATAAACAATATCACAGATAACACCCGCTATGGGGCCTGACTTGGTAATCTGCTATGGCGCTAATAATGCAGATTACAGCCTAATAAATAACAGAAGTTCCATGTTCCCCTTGTTTATGTAACATTTTTAAACATAAATACATGGAACTAAAAACTTCCTCTACTGAGGAAGTCTTCTTTTCGCAGTGTTATTTAGGCATAGGGCCTCTGAGCTGTATCTAGTCACAAATATGCCGGGTGTTTTGTATTTGTATTACAAGCATGTATGAGATGATTATGCCATTAAGCTGTTAATCAAGAACCAGAAATTAATACTACATATACAATGGTACTTATTATTACAGTATAAGTACCAACTGGACTTTTTGTCATCAAGGATGGAATCTTACTTGTGATGCAGAAACGTTTTCTTTTAACTTCATCATCACTCATCCTGTACTGAATAATTCCTGCATCATTAGTGTGTGTATGATAACAAGGTTAGGATTATGAAGTGTTAAAATGTGAACGGTTTAAATTAACTTAAAGCAACATGCTTGTCCTAGACTTGTACTGTGTTCTCAAGGAATTTACTGTTTCTTTGATTGTGCCAAAGAAATTGACAATGAAACATTTTAAAAATGTGAAATGGCAGGTATGTGTTAAGTTCAAGTAATAATTTGTAATACAAAATAACATAACATGCTGTGCGATGCAATTATATTTTATTTTGTGTTTGTATAAATGTTGAAAATAAATGTAATTTTCCGTATTTCAGCCTGTTTCTCACTTTGTTTAATAGGGAATACCCGGTTTCAGCTTTTGCAATATGTGGTTGCCACTGGTAACATGGATAAGGCAATGCACATTTACCATAATATTATCGGTAACAATTCAGGTGAAGAAAGCCAGTTCACTCCTAAAGCTTTCAAGAGATTCTCTCTATTTCTGACTTCCCATAACACACAGGGCTGATCTGTGTAGCCGAGTGCATCCCGCTGATATCACAGATTGGCTGTAACAGTCCTGCTGTCATCAACTGCAATCGGGGAAGAACAGTTTCTGAGTGTTTTCAAACATCCTCTCTGCTAGCTGCCCAATGTCCTCATTCCTTGCTCCTGCCATCACTTCCAACACTTGTCTAGGAGTCAATGAGAATGTGTACGATTACTTCATAATGCCTAAATATCGTAAGTGAACATTTACAATCTGGCATGAATGTTCATCTAGAAAAGTGCATTCATGCTATATTCAGAAACACAGCATTTTTTTCCCAAGAATATTTCAGAGGTTGGAATTCAAAACCTAGGTTCATCTCCATTCTACCATGCCATAAAAACAAAACGAAGACAAACTTTGGTAATGGTGGCAATGATCAGGGACGTTATATGTTTATCTGCATATATGTTTTGCTTTAATTACCCAAACCATAATTTTCACCAAAATGCTTGAATTACTATAATGAGACACAAAACCATCATGTCGGCAGATATACTGAAAGCATTATTCAACTGACAATCCTAGGGAAAATGAAGCGACCTGTGTAATGTTTTGTCTCAGTACATGCCACGATTATGACAAAGTCCTGTAGATGGGAGTGAGTGAGTGAGTGAGTGAGTTGGGTTTAACGCCGCAACATTATTCCAGTTATATCACAGCGTGTCAGCTTAATGTGGGAGGAAAGCCCGAAGTGATGCAGGTCTTAGGCGTTTACCACTTCAGTGAAACCCACGAGCACGGGTAAGGTGCTGACAAACCTAGAAACATAACTGGGGCGAACCGGGATTCGAACCCACAATCATAGGTTTCTGGCGTGCCCAAGGGACACAACTCTGCACAGCGAATCGTGGCGCCTTAGACGACTGGGCCACCCATGCCCCCCTGCAGATGGGAAGTCTAAGCTCAGGAGATATCACATCATAGTATGTGATTGAGTAGCGCCAAAAGTCAAGCCATGTTGATGTTGCTGAATTTGTCCATGCACTCTCTCAAGACAAAATATTTGTTCGTCAAGTTTTCAGCCTGAAATCTATTGCTACACTTGCTGTAAATAATGAAGGAACCGCATCACATTATTTAGCAGCATTAAAAAAGTAAGATCCGATTTTGAAATTGTTTGTGCAGGTTCGTGAAAGAATTGCATCTGAATAAATATTTTCTTACAAGTAATGCAGTCATCAGCAAGATCATGGTCTAAGATAGATTTGATACCTCTGGCGGACCAATCAGAATGCAGGGTTCTACAATGTCCTGGTAGAATGACAAGCAATAAACCAAGTCCCAGAACCTGACTACCCGCCTCATTAATCAACTGAGGCTCTTTTGCACCACAGAGTAACAGAGTCTGAAGAAAGTGAGGAGTGATCCACTTTGGCAATGTGCCAGGAATGAATGCACACACAGTTGGTGAGGTGAGGTGAGGTGAAATTGGGTTTAACGTCGCGTCCAAGATTATTGCACTTATATAGCGACGTGCATGCACGTGTGTGTGTGTGTGTGGCTGCTTGTACTAGTCCGGACTGATGCCGATTTATAGTGCTAGCTCACTGAGATACCATGCCGCAGTTTAACATGAATACCCCACTCAGACACAGTATACTGACTCCGAGCCGACCAGTCCTTGTTTTAGCCCCTTAATGCCGAGCGCCAGACAGGGTAACAACAAGTAGAATCTTTTAACGTCTTTTTGTATGACGCGGCCCGGGATCGAACCCTGGACCTTCCGCTCTCCGGGCGGACGCTCTACCACAAGACCACGGAGGCGGTCCACAAACAGTTGGAGAATGAATGAAAACATGTCAACACTGGTATCATCAATAAACTAACAAAGTGAGCAGGTATTAGTATCCCCAGCAAGACAGGGTTTAGCAATCAGATTATGTGGTAGGAATGAAAAATTCTGAGGGTTGGTTACCAAAGAAGAAAAATGGCAAAATGACCTAGGTATGCATGTTTTGTGCATGAATGATCCAAACACTGGATGACTTACATTATACATGCAGGCTCATTCCTGCCTTTGATACAGGATCCTTTCTCCCACTTCTCTTTCTTCTTGGAGGGGAAGGATGTCTTCACATGCTTGAAGCCTGCATGTGTCTGCCTCACATCACACCACGGGGCATCTGAATAGGTATTTGGTTACAAAAGTACTATTGGACATTCACTAAAAGAATAGAAACATACACGAAAAGGACTAAACTAAACAATTTAGCAAATTATTTTCAGAACTTATAAATGTATTAATAATAATATATGTTAATATTAAAATATTATTATTATTGTTGTTGTTATTATTATTATTATTATAAATTGGTACCAGTACTGGCAACAGGGTGCACAGGTAATCAGTGGCTTACGTACAAATGGACATGTTTCTACATTATTGTCAACCTTTTCAATGAAACTGAAAATATAACACGAATGTAATTTCATATCCGTGTGGGGGCATGGGTGGCCCAGTCGTTTGAGGCGCGGCCCTTGGGCACGCCAGAAACCTATGATTGTGGGTTTGAATCCCGGTTTGCCCCGATTATGTTTCTAGGTTTGTCAGCACCAAACCCGTGGGTTTCACCGAAGTGGTAAACGTCCGAGACCTGCATCACTTCGGGCTTTCCTCCCACATTAAGCTGACACGCTGTGATATAACTGGAATACTGTTAAAAGCGGCGATAAACCCAACTCACTCACTCACTCGCTCACTCACTCACTCATATCCGTGTTGGCACCATTATTGGGACCATTATCTTTGTAAAAGGACCATGTCAAAATTATCAAAATGAAGACCAACAAAGCACTTCTCTCTCTTTTCTTTCAAAATAGAATTAGTTTTTGCTACACACAAAATTCAAAAGTTGAAATCTTTCAGGTTGTTTTTCTGATGGTAAGCTATTTCCCTTGACACTGCTGTTGACATTGACTTATTTACCAGCTCTAACCCTGACTTACCTGTTTCTATCATCAGGCGTTCTGTTGGGATTGTACACATTGCGTCAATGTTTTCTTGCGTTTTCAAAGAGCTGATAAAACAATGCTGTCTGTTAAACAAGAACTAAACATGGATCCATGTATCCATTACCAAATGAAGTGGTAAAGATAACCTACATGATTGAAATAATATGTTTGGCAAATTGTTTCTTTTTCATTTTCACTTAACTTATTTTAAGGTATATGCATGTTTCATTATTGCAGTAAAAATATCGTAAGAACCTGCAAATAGGACAGATTAATATACGACAGCCAAAATATATATAAAATCCAGTGAGTACTGAAGATGTTCCAGCAGGACACTGACAGGTATGTGCAGCAAAGCCTTACCACCCATTGATTCCTATATACAGGCCCTGGTCCAGCATGGCAGCCGCCTCCTCCTTTGTCCCTGTGAAGGAGTGGACCTGCAATAACGGGAAAGATGTCTGTCACCTGAGTAGCAGACCGGCACCATCTGCATCATGTCTGCCACAGGATCAGAAAAGGTCCCCATCGTCAATACTTCACCATCTTCCCAAGGCAAGGGAGTTAACTGACTGTAAAAGTCCAGTTTCCACCCTTGACGAACTAGGCTGGAATTCCTGGGCTTGATCGTAGCGCAACCAGTGGCTATTACGAGTTGAGTCCCTTCTAAGCCTCTCCTATTGACCAATCAGATTCCACCTCTCGTATCACTTGCATTTGTTTCAAACAAAATGGCGGCACCCAGTCAAGATGATCTTATCGATAATCAAAGATCTATATTGTATCATAACGGGCCTTACCTCGCAAAGTGCATCATATCACTTGAGCACCTTGTGTAAAAACTTCAAAACATTTGCAAAATGCCCAGTTGGCAGTACACATGCTTTGCAAATCCTTCTGTCAACTGAAATCTGCACATTGAAATCCATGTTGTGTGAACCTGATGACTAGATTTTGATTGGACATTGCATGGACTCGTTAGTCCAGCGAAAATGTAACTCCGGAATTCCAGCCTATTTCGGCAAGGGTGGAAACTGGATTTTTATAGTCAGTTAACTCCCTTGCCTCAGGAAGATGCACTGGTCTGAGCAGTCCCTGGAACTAGGCCATGTCTTGATTCAATGGTTGAAGGTAGTGACGACTCAGCACAGCAGTCCAATGTAATCACGGGTGATGGCGGAACGTAGTGGATACAAACCCCTAAAGTAGTGCCAATGAAAAGGTCCCTAGTTCAACACACTGTCATGAGACAGTCTGACACTCTGACAATGGGTTGCTCCCACCATCCGTGCCAGGTCCTGCTGATAATGGGTTCAAACCTTTGATTAAACGCAAGGTGTGTCAGCACCATACCATGCTCATGAGTTTCACCAAAGCGGTGTGAGGTGGTGAGGTGAAATGGGGTTTAACGTCGCGTTCAAGATTATTGCACTTATATAGCGACGTGCATGTACGTGTGTGTGTTTGTGTGGCTGCTTGTACTTGTCCAGACTGATGCCGATTTAAAGTGCTAGCTCACTGAGATACCATGCCGCAGTTTAACATGAATACCCCACTCAGACTCAGTATACTGACTCCGAGCCGACCAGTCTTTGTTTTAGCCCCTTAATGCCGAGCGCCAGACAGGGTTACAACAAGTAACATCTTTTAACGTCTTTTGGTATGACGCGGTTGGGGATCGAACCCCGGACCTTCCGCTCTCTGGGCAGACGCTCTACCACTAGACCACGAAGGCGGTCTTCACCAAAGCGGAAAAAGTAGACCTGTATTTTAAGTAAACAGGTCTTGTCATATCTTCTGACTGTAAGAAGGAATCAGAAAGAAATCCAAAGGCAGACCTGTATGCTGTCAACCAGAATCCATTACAATCTGATAGAGAAGGTACAGACTTGAAGAGCAGAGGTAATTAATATTATTGTTCTTGTGACTACTGAATCTCATAAAACAGATTTTCATGATTGGTCCAAGAGGTTTGTTACCGGTACATTAAGAGTACATCATTGCAAATCTTGTTGAAATGTTTTATATAACTTAGAGCTCATGCAAGATACTTTGGCGACTGAGACAGTACGAGAGAAGCATCCTTACCACTCCCCCTGTGAATCTGTCCCTGTTTCTTCTGATGATGTCTAGGAATTCTGTGCTTGAGTTGCGGCAGTGTAGAAACATTGGGAGATGAGTAGCTTCAGTGATGTCAAACTGCTTCTCAAAATACCTGGAAAGAGTTGTCAAACTCTAAACCCTTGTTTCTTCAGAACATGATATTGTTACATTGTTTACAACATTTAGGACTTTCACACCCAGTTACCGATCAATTTTGTCATATACTCACTTGAGCTGTGTCTCTCGGGGACAAAAGTGTAATCTATCAAAATCTGAAAAAAGATCAAGGAAAAATCAATATATTTACATATGTAAACAGACAATTGTGTTGTTCAGTTTGCAATCAAACCTAAATAATTGGTGTCAGCCTTGATAACTGTATTTTCAGAGTAAAAATATCATTTATACTTATCCTAACACTAAAGCAATTGGTATGAGTCAGGAAGAGGTAAAATTGTCATTTACCTGCTCATGAAATGCATAAAAAGTATAATTATTTTACTTTTGAGAAGGTACATCAGGGAAACATAACTCACGTTTGTGATTGTATTTCTATGGAATTTGATATTTATCTCCATTATCTACAAGAGGTGATACCTATCCTACTAGTAAACATACGTGTATATCTAGGGATTGTGATTATCTTACTCTAGCAAAGGACTTGTTAGACACAATGTCTATTCCAATATCCCAAGAAAAATTAGTGAGTGAGTGAGTGAGTATGGTCAATATTCCAGCAGGGCAGGGGGGCAGGGCAGGGAACACCAGATAAGGGCTTCACACATTGTACCGATACAGATAAAAATCTGAAAGGACAACTACCACAACTCGCATAACTTACTTCAGTTACACAAATTAGTTACATATGAAATGAGCTGTGGGCATACTAGTACTCATGTTGGCTATCCGGACTCTCTAGGGAATATCCTCGTAAATGTATATGTGAACTACCACTAGACCGTCTGAGTGAGTGAGTGAGTGAGTGAGTGAGTGATGAGTGAGTGAGTGAGTGAGTGAGTGAGTGAGTGAGTGAGTGAGTGAGTGAGTGAGTGAGTGAGTGAGTGAGTGAGTGAGTGCGTGCGTGCGTGCGTGCGTGCGTGCGTGCGTGCGTGCGTGCGTGAGTGAGTGAGTGAGTGAGTGAGCGAGCGAGCGAGTGGTGGGTGGGTGGGTGGGTGGGTGGGTGGGTGGGTGAGTGAGTGAGTGAGTATGGTTTTACGCCGCTTTTAGCAATATTCCAGCAATTTCAAGGCGAGGGACACCAGAAATGGGCTTCACACATTGTAACCATGTCAGGAATCGAACACTTTAACCACTGGGCTACCCGACCGCCCCTACTAGACCGTCTGAAGTCCCATACCTAGTCCACACTCCCCGACTGCCACCACCTTGTTCCGGTTCTGAGAGATCATCTCTGTGAGGTCATGGAGGTACTTGTCGGGGTCGCCACTCTTCTCGAACTCCTTGCACCTGGTGGGATGACACCCCACCGTGCTGTACATGTTGTCTGCAATACAAACAAACACCAGCATCTTTCACTTCAGCCTGGAACAGTGCCGCCAACACCTCAACATCTGATCATAACACACACCGCTAACTAATGCATAACTGGGAGTGCATGATAATCTCTCTTTTGGATTGATTCATGCCAATCTCCATGAAGAATGAAAGTTTAAGTTTCTGAGGTGGTGACAAGCTTGGCTGGCTCATCATAATTACTGAACATGATCTGCCACAGAACATGTTATGTAACTGTCCACAATCTACAGGACATGGCCTGTAACTGTCCACAACCTACAGGACATGGCCTGTAACTGTCCACTACCTACAGGACATGGCCTGTAACTGTCCACTACCTACAGGACATGGCCTGTAACTGTCCACTACCTACAGGACATGGCCTGTAACTGTCCACTACCTACAGGACATGGCCTGTAACTGTCCACTGCCTACAGGACATGGCCTGTAACTGTCCACTGCCTACAGGACATGGCCTGTAACTGTCCACTGCCTACAGGACATGGCCTGTAACTGTCCACTACCTACAGGACATGGCCTGTAACTGTCCACTGCCTACAGGACATGGCCTGTAACCGTCAACTGCCTACAGGACATGGCCTGTAACTGTCCACTGCCTACAGGACACGGCCTGTAACTGTCCACTGCCTACAGGACATGGCCTGTAACTGTCCACTACCTACAGGACATGGCCTGTAACTGTCCACAACCTACAGGACATGGCCTGTAACTGTCCACTACCTACAGGACATGGCCTGTAACTGTCCACTACCTACAGGACATGGCCTGTAACTGTCCACAACCTACAGGACATGGCCTGTAACTGTCCACTACCTACAGGACATGGCCTGTAACTGTCCACTGCCTACAGGACACGGCCTGTAACTGTCCACTGCCTACATGACATGGCCTGTAACTGTCCATGGTCTGCCACATGATCCTGGTACACACACCATCTGTCTTGGCCAGCTCCAGAGCTTGAGTCGCGTCCTTCAGACTGCCACCTGTGATCATGATCTGGAAGGGAGAGCATGAATGTTGATTCACACAGCAGTCAGTATATATGTTGCCCATATATAGATATGTAAGCCAGGACCAGCATTAGCCACACCCATCATCAATACCTCACAGGTTCTGTATGCAGTCCTGTCTTCTGTCTCACATGAATACATGTACAACTGTATGTCGTAGCAACTAAGCTGGGACGAGTCCAAATTTACTAATCTGGTACCACCCCACTATTACCCGACCCTATCCAGGTACCCTCTGTAGGTCTCAAGAGAAAGGTAAAAATTGACCTTATCCCTGGCAAAATGTACTTCGATACATGCATAAAATGGTCATGCATATACTGAAGTTTTATCTTTATTCAAACATATACAAGTCAGAAGGAATGCGTGTATAGTCAGAAAGAGATGGGAACATTAGTCACTTAAAGTATCAAAATAGAGTTCCAATAACTTTTGCCATTAAACAATATATCATGTGACCAACCACGGGTCTGGGCAGTCCTGTGGGTAGCCGGATCCTACTCAGTACCCACATGACCCGAGTACCCAAGTTACCCGTCCCAGCCCTAGAAGTAACTTTTGTCCAGTTTTAGTCAACTGATGAAATGACGCCATGAAACTCATGGGCTGTTTGCTTACCCCACACTGTCAGGTGGTTGAAAATACCATGGCACACGTTGCACAAGAAATATTGCTGTTTGTTAACTTTCAGCGATGATTGGTCTACATGGTCAAAGCACTCACTGGTTACCCTCACTTGAACCAGGCCTTGTCTTGATTTATCAGTTAAAATTTGTCTGGTCTATATTCACGGGTGCAGGAGAAATCTTGTGTATACCATGGTACCGTATATGACCGCGCATAAGCCGAATTTTGAGGACCAGAAAAAAGATTCTGTAGAAAGGGGTCGGTATACAAACCTGTGAAGTAGTGATGAAGGTCCACACCGTCAGAGTATGATGACTCAAATTTTAATCATACGGTGTACATTTTAATTTAGCTTTTACAATAAACATTGTCCTGGGAGAGCTGTTAAGTACACCTTCACTCGGACTTCAAGAGACATCACTCTTCTTAGTGTACTATATTACTGATTCAAGTAATTTGATGCCTTTAACCGTCATGCACATTTCAGCTGTCAAATGGGGCACGGGTGGCCCAGTCGTCTAAGGCGCCGCGATACGCTGTGCAGAGCTGCGTTCCTTGGGCACGCCAGAAACCTATGATTGTGGGTTCGAATCCTGGTTCGCCCCAATTATGTTTCTAGGTTTGTCAGCACCATACCCGTGCTCGTGGGTTTCACCGAAGTGGTAAACATCTAAGTCTTGCATCACTTCGGGCTTTCAGCCCACATTAGGCTGACACTCTGTGATATAACTGGAATACTGTTAAAAGTGGCGTTAAACCCAACTCACTCACTCACTCAGCTATCAAGTCCAGGAACAACTGAGATTATACTCATAGGCAGATCCTAAGGGGGGATCCCCACCCCCACCCCCACCCCATTAGAAAACTAAATGTAGCACAATCCCCCACTATCCCACCATGAGCAGATTCTGATTGTTTGGACCCCTGTCTTTGAAACATGCTAGATCTGCCCTTGATACTTCATAAAACAGTAGCACATCACCTGCTTACTATAATGCTGACTATTCCTTTGGCACAACTAAAGTGAAACATTTGATGGATACTGAGATATAAATAGACACTGCTACACTATGTCAAGGAAAAATGTTAAACTGTCAGGTGTCACACCACAGCAGTTACCTTCTGCAGGCCATAGTCGAACGCTCTCTGCAGTACATCTTGGAAATCATCTGCAGCAAATGAGTCATTACTTCAACACAACCATAAAGAGGCCTCATTGAGTTGGTTTTATGTCTATTTAATAAGTGAATCATAAGGGATTTGCAATTTGACGGACATGCATGACATAAGCTCCCATGAACATGATGAACCCATAACTGGTTTGATTTATGAAAATAATTTCAGTGAAAAACATTAAAAATTGTTCAATGCTCAGGGGCGGTTGGGTAGCCAAGTGGTTAAAGCATTCGCTTGTCACGAAGAAGACCCGGGTTCGATTCCTGACATGGGCACTGTAGCGTTTTAGTATCATATAACCAGTCACTCGCTTTATCCATACGATGTCTCTATATAAATGAGTGCGCACGTGTAACAGCGCCGGAAGTGTGTGTTGTGCGCTAGCAGACCACATGGCTGCCAACTACACTTGACTGAGTGTATTGACATGTAATGAGAGAATACAACCTTTCCCCGGAAAGCCAAGTGTTTGTTTTAGCTGCCAAAGTCATCACATAAATTGGCGACGAGGTAAAACTGGATGTCTTAGCGTTTTTGTGGACATTTTGTGTGATTAACGTCCGTCGTGTTTCACTCGCTCCATAAACATGGCGTCGTCTACCTCCGGGAAGATCGACGAATTTAATACAGAGACTGACAGCTGGGACATTTATTGTGAGAGGTTAGACTTGTACTTTACGGCTAGAGGTGTTGATGACGAGGATGATGTGATGAAACGGGCTATTCTGCTTAGTGAAATGGGTAAGACAGCCTACACACTTCTCCGGAATTTGTGCGCTCCTACGAAACCTAAGGAAATGAGGTTTGCTGAGATAGTGAAAGTCATGCGCGATCATCAACACCCAACACCGTCAGTGATAGTTGAAAGACTTAAATTTCACAAGAGGGATAGAAAGTCTCAAGAGAGTGTTGCAGCGTATGCTTCCGAGTTGCGCAAACTGGCAAGTACATGTGACTTTGGTACTACTCTTGATGATTCACTTAGAGACAGACTAGTTTGTGGCATTAATAATGATGCAATACAGAGGAGATTATTAGCAGAGAAAGCTCTGGATTACATTAAGGCTTTTACACTAGCACAGTCAATGGAATTGGCAGCAAAGAATGTAGAAGATATTAAAGTTGGTGCTTCAAGTGTTTCAGCAGCTACAGGGGGTAACATGCACAAGATGTCATCATCTCAACATGCTCCTGTCTACCTGCCATGTGACAGATGTGGTTTACGAAATCACAAATCTCCGGACTGTCATTTTCGTACCTCAAAGTGTTACAATTGTGGTAAGATTGGCCACATTGGGAAGGTATGTCGTCAGTCACAGAATAGTAAAGGTTCTCGTTGTGGACGTGGCTCGTATCGATCTAGAGGTCAAGGTCGAAGTCGGGGTCAGCACAAGCGTTCAGCGACAAATCAGGTCACTCCTGATAACTATGATGATGTTGAAAGTGAAATATATGACATTTACAAGATGGAGACTAGCTCTACACCTTTTGTTGGGAGGAGAGAGAAGGAACCACCAATGTTTATTGATTTAGCACTTAATGGTCAGCCATTAAGCATGGAGCTGGATACAGGTGCAACATTTTCAGTGATTAATGAGGACACTTACAGATCGTTAGGGAAAGATCCACCCAAACTAGGACCTCCTCATACCTTGTTACGTACTTACCTAGGTGAGAAGATACCTCTGCTTGGTTCATGCTCAGTGAAAGTGAACTACGGCAAACAGTCAGCAGAACTGCCAGTGATTGTAGTGAAAGGGAGAAGAGCTAATCTCTTTGGTCGCGACTGGCTGCGACATGTTCGTCTAGACTGGGGAACAATCCTCAGAGTAGATTGTGATGATGTGCAAAGTATCCTTAACTCACATTCCGATGTCTTCAAGGAGGAACTTGGTGAGTTGAAAGATACAAAAGTGAAGATTAACATATCTATTCCTTCACAACCACGCTTCTACAAGCACAGGAACATGGCCTATGCCTTGAGGGACAAGGTTGAGAATGAACTTGAACGGTTAGAGCAGCAGGGTGTCATAAAACCAGTGCAGTACTCAGAGTGGGCAGCACCCATCGTACCAGTGTTGAAGTCGGATCAGTCTTCAGTGCGCATATGTGGAGATTACAAACTAACAGTCAACCAGGTTGCTAAACCAGATTGTTACCCAATACCCAGGATTGAGGACTTATTTGCATCCCTCTCAGGTGGTCGCAAGTTTACGAAATTGGACATGAGTAATGCCTACCAGCAGATAGTGTTGGACGATGATTCCAAGAAACTCACCACAATTAACACCCATAAAGGTCTATACGAGTACCAACGATTACCTTTTGGGGTGTCGGCAGCTCCTGCTATCTTCCAGCGGACAATTGAATGTCTTCTCAGCGACTTGCCACATGTGTGCGTCTACCTCGATGATATTCTCGTCACAAGTGTTGATGATGCAGAACACAACAAGAATCTGAATGAAGTCCTTGACAGATTGCAGAAAGCAGGTTTGCGTCTAAACGCTTCAAAGTGTCACGTCAAGAAAGACTCAGTCACTTACCTGGGACACCGGATTGACGCACAGGGACTGCATCCATTAGAGGAGAAGGTAAACGCTATTGTGTCCGCACCAGCTCCTCAGAATGTGACAGAGTTAAAGTCATTCCTTGGGATGGTACAGTACTACCAGAGATTCCTGCCAAATCTCTCCACGACGTTAGTGCCACTACATGGGTTACTACAAAAGGACGCTCCATGGTCATGGACCAAGAAGCATGATACAGTATTTCTAAAGGTGAAATCTCACTTGTCTTCATGTAAGGTCTTGACTCACTACAATCCAGACCTTCCTCTCAACTTAGCAGCTGATGCTTCTCCATATGGAGTAGGTGCCGTCCTGTCACACATCATGCCAGATGGTACTGAGAAGCCTGTGGCGTTTGCGTCACGTTCCTTGTCACCTGCAGAAAAGAACTATTCACAGCTTGATAAAGAAGCACTGGCAATAGTGTTTGGCATAAAGAAATTCCACCAGTATTTGTTCGGACGAAAATTTCAGCTGTTATCAGATCACAAACCCCTCATGGGTCTACTTGATGCAGAGAAAGGCATTCCAGTGATGGCGTCAGCCAGACTCCAGAGATGGGCCTTGATGCTGGTAGCGTATGATTACAGTATTGTGTATAAACCAGGTTCCAAGTTAGCAAACGCAGATTGTTTGAGCAGATTGCCTCTGCAAACCTCTGTGTCTGTGCCGCCTGTTCTAGGAGACACAATAATGCTCCTCGAGAACATGGCAGAATTCCCAGTGAATGTGCGACAAATTCAGTTTTGGACAAGGAAGGATCCCTTGTTAGCTAGAGTGAAGAAGTTAGTGGAATGTGGTTTTCCAGAAAACCTGAAGCCAGATACAGAGCTAAAGCCATATATTCAGAAGAAAACTGAGCTAAGTGTTCAGGATGGTGTGATTCTGTGGGGTAACAGAGTAGTGGTTCCACCTCAGGGTAGGAAACAGTGTGTAGATGTGTTGCATGAAGCTCACCCTGGAATAGCGAGGATGAAAGCTATTGCCAGAGGTCTTGTATGGTGGCCGTGCATTGATTCAGAGCTGGAGAACAAGGTCAGGACTTGTTCCATATGTCAGGAGAGTCGTTCTTCACCCTGCGAAGCAAAGTTACATCCGTGGGACTGGCCGTCCAAACCATGGTCACGTCTGCACATTGATTATGCAGGTCCCTTACAAGGTCAAATGTTCCTCATCATCATAGACTCTCACTCTAAGTGGATGGATGTTTTCCCTGTCAACAGTGCAACTACGAGTGCCACTCTTGAGTGTCTTCGGAGAACATTTTCCATTAATGGTCTACCTGAGACAATAGTGTCTGATAATGGGACATGTTTCACAAGTGATGAATTTGCTATATTCATCAAGAGAAATGGTATTCAACACATCTGTACATCCCCTTACCATCCAGCGTCCAATGGACTGGCAGAGGAGTGTCCAGACGTTCAAACAGGGATTTAAGAAGCTCAGCGGCGGTTCCATCAACACCAGGGTGTCAAGATTCCTGTTCAGGTATCGTAACACTCCGCAGACTACGACAGGGTCATCTCCAGCGCAGTTACTATTGGGAAGATGTCCACGTTCCCATCTTGACTTGCTTCACCCTGACATCGGTGTTAAAGTTCAACATAAACAAGAGAAGCAAGCAAACTACCACAATAGACATACAAAGTCACGGGAGTTCGCTGTCGGTGATCTTGTTTACGTCAGGAACTTTCTTGGTAAGCCTAAATGGTTACCAGGGGAGATAATCCAGTGTACAGGTCCTATCTCCTTCAAAGTCAGCTTGGAAAATAACAAAATTGTGAGGCGACATGTAGATCACCTCATCAAGCGTTATGTGGACCCCGATGCTGTGAAACCAGAATCCCCAGAATTGTTGGAAGAAAGTGAAGTGTCGAAGTCTGTCATCACTTTCTCACCAGAGCTCCCAGAGCCTAGTTCTGTACCAGTATCACCCGCAGACACGCCATTTCCGCGTACCAGGTTACCTTCATGTGACACTAGTCCAGAACTGTCCTCATCTGTCGAGTTGAGAAGATCGACTCGTGAGCGTCGAGCTCCAGATAGACTAAATCTGTAAACTACTGTATTTCATTGTTAAGTGTTTTGGTTTTTTTCAGATTGAACTTTAAGGTGCATGCTCAATTCATTTATTTCAGAAACCAAGTGAATGAACATTAAGTTTGTGAATTTCAGTGTTCAAGAATACTTCAGTGAACTTTATGGGAAAATTTCCATTGAACTCTTTGAGTTGATCACTATTTCTTTTTCAGTGACTGATGAGTTAGTAACATTGTTCACTAATTGCTTAAACAACAAGTTGTTAACTAAAGGGGGAGGAATGTAGCGTTTTAGTATCATATAACCAGTCACTCGCTTTATCCATACGATGTCTCTATATAAATGAGTGTGCACGTGTAACAGCGCCGGAAGTGTGTGTTGTGCGCTAGCAGACCACATGGCTGCCAACTACACTTGACTGAGTGTATTGACATGTAATGAGAGAATACAACCTTTCCCCGGAAAGCCAAGTGTTTGTTTTAGCTGCCAAAGTCATCACAGGTACAATGTGTGAAGCCCATTTCTGGTGTCCCACGCCGTGATATTGCTGGAATATTGCTAAAAGCGGCGTAAAACCATACTCACTCACTCATCCTATCAATAGCTTATAATACATGTATTATTATTATTATTATTATTATTATTATTATTATTATTATTTAAAAAAGTACTTTACGATTACTTACCTTCATGCTTCTTGGATCCATGGTACACTCCTCTGAATACAGGATCTAAATAGTACATATGTTTTATACAAGTACATATATATTGTATGTAAGTAATTATTGAAACAGAAAGAGAGACTGAGATATTTGCACTCAATTCACAAATTTAATTTGGCATTAACATGATGAAAACAGTCAATAGGTTCATGGATAATACCCCGGTAAGAAATTAAAGTAGGTCACATATGAATTTATTAATTGTATTTTAGAGTACATAAAATAAGGATTACCTGTCAAGTTGGCTCCAATATCTAGATGTCCAGAATGGAAAAAAATAAAGAAAATAGTTGTAGATGTATTAATTACTGTACCGAACAGTTTCAGAAATAAACAAATAACTGTAAACATGGTAAAACAAACGTGGATGATAGTATAATCTGCCTCAATTAATCTGTTTGTTTGTTGTTTATTGCGACAATCAGCAATATTCCAGCTATATGAAGGCAACCTGTAAATAATGAAGATTGAACAAGACATATCCAGTGATTGACATGAGTACTGATCCGCGCAAATGTGATATGACGACATAAATTGTGATGTTAAGAGAGCATATCATCTGGCAAGGTTCAATATGGTGTGGCAACTGCAAACTACCACACCCTTTTGAGCAATTGTGATATTCACAAATTTATGGCTTAGATTTTCATCACCTAAATCTTCCACAATACATTCTTGACCTGGGTACCATCGTTTACAAGTATATATCGACAGGTACCCATGCTCAAGTTCTGCAGGTTTTCCTTTGCATCCATCATGGTATAGTTCCTGCTTGTTTACTGCAGAGAACTCTTATGACATGGTGGGTAGATCTACATGAAAATGAAAACATTCAAACCACGGTACATGATATGGATATTATGAAATGTACCCTAGGTAGAAAAATAATGTATAAAAAAATATTGGCACAAGTGATATCGTCATAAATTATAAAAACACACGCATGAGGTCATATGGCAGTGATTCAAGTGATTGGTGATTGGTGATTCAATTAAGGGTGAGGTTGGCACAAACTTAGTTAAGACATTTTGCACGAGTATCTTCATGACTGTGATTCATGAGTGGATCTATCAAGATGTTGACATGTCGCTTAATCGATTTGTTGTGTATGTTGTTAAGCTACGTGAGTACAGTATGTCACTACTTTTATGGGAATTGTATCAGCTTAAACCCTAATTACCAATAAACTTATAAAGATGTCTTGCGGCAGCAGCCATGATAAGCACTCATGAAATAATCCTGATAAAAATACACAATTCCACGTTTTCTTTTGAGTCAAGTTCCAAGGGAGACAACTCTCAACACTATACCTGTAGATGTAAACCGCTAAAGTTATTTTGACAAAATCCATGGTATGACGCTGCTTAATGAACGGATAGCTGACATAATATTTCACAAATAGATGAGAATGCAAAATATGTTGTATAGACTCCCTGGATAGGTATAGCTTATTGAGTACAAATGTCATACTTATTTAACTAAATGAGTGTCAGTGTGTTTGTATTTACCGAGAGTTTTACATGAAACCATGTGAAAAACAAAACCTTAATTGGCTTATAAATTGTCAACCACTGCAGATATTGTAACAACCGCCATTGCAAACTCAACTTAATCTCAAGGCAGTGCCATCTTTAGCGAGCAGGTATGTGCCATCTCCGATTTTATTCGGTTACATTGATATTTTGGAGATATATAAGATCGTTCTTCCCGTTTTACACAGGCTGGAAGCATTGTGATATCATAAAATTGTTTTTCTCCATAAGGACTTTAAGTTCTGTATTGAGGATGCATATGATTGAATATTCTTTGACCTCACAGCCAAATGTATTCAAGCTGTATCACGCTGGCGTATAAACCACCTGACTCAATGTTTTACTACTAGTAGTGCATGACCACGTTGACATAGATGGTCGTACTATAAATCTGTGGTTACATTTTATATACATAAAAGAAAAACAAATTAAAAAAATACTTGAACCTGTGCCAAAGAAACCGTTACATAAATATTATGGCATGGGTATACAGAAATAGAACTACAGTAAACTACGGTTATAACGAACACGCTTATAACGAACTGACGGATATAACGAACTTAATTTTTGGTCCCGACTATTTGCTGTAGTTATACTGTGTATATGCTTATAACGAACTACGGTTATAACGAACTAAAATAAGTAGTCCCTTTGAGTTCGTTATAACCGTACTTTACTGTATGTTGAATGTTGTTTGCATTTGTGGCAATGTAAAATATAGTTCTACAATCAGTTATGATTTTATTGTCATGTCATAAATGTGATGCAGCGCAATGGGTACCAATACCATGTATACATATGAGAATGGTTTCCATTCTTGACGTTTTACAGTTGTTGCCCTCCCGCCACAGAACATTATGTCATTGTGAATAACTTGGAGAGATGCACAAAGAGCGTGTGTCTGTCTGGAGAGCGGAAGGTCGGCGGTTCGATCCCCGTGCCGCGTCACACCAAAAAACGTTACAAGATGATTCTTGTTACCGTGTTTTCCGCGCAGCACAAAGGGGATAAAACCAGGATTATCTGGCTCGGAGTCACTCTAATGTGTGGGTATCCATGTTAAGCTACGGCATGGTAGCTCAGTGGGCTAGCAGACCGCAGGCCGCAAGTCTTGACTAGTACAAGCAGCCACTCACACCCGTGCATGCACGTGGCTATGTAAGTGACGTTAGAAACCCCATTTCACCTTGTTTTCGCGCGACAATGACTGAGGGTTGATTTGTTTGGCGCTAACTTCGCCGATAATTGTAACATATCTAAATATTATATTACAGGAGGGCTATGTCAATGTTCAGATGTAATATTGAGATTAGCCCCTGAGTGTGCGAGACAAAGTAGTACTGCCCATGAAGCCCATCTATGCATGTACCGTCGCTCAAGAGATTTGAGCCTAGTTGAAATTGGTTGGTTGGTTTGTCGTTTAACGCCGCACTAAGCAATATTCCAGCTATATGACGGCGGTCTGTAAATAATCGAGTCGGGACCAGAAAATCGGGTGATTAATATCATGAGCATCGATCCACGCAATTGGGATCGATGACATGCATCAACCAAGTCAGCGAGCATGACCACCCGATCCCTTGAGTCGCCTCTTACGACAAGCATAGTCGCTTTTTACGGCAAGCATGGGTTGCTGAAGACCTTTTCTACCCCGGATCGCCACGGGTCCCTAGTTGAAGATGAATACCATGTAATGATGGGGTGCGGCAGATATGAATGTACCGCTAAAGAGACACCAACTCTGATAACAAGCAGAAACATTGTGGGTGTTATAAGTTAGATTTGGTACTCCCACTAACAGAGTGCACAGTTTTCTTCTTGTAATCATGCCAAAACCATTACTGTATTTATTATAGGCTGGAAGCCAGGAATACTGAATAAAGTCTGTCTGCCTGAAATGCCTAAATATTAGCGTGTGGACATGTCTTTAACGGACTGTGCAAAATGATAGAATAGATATTATACCCGTTCAAACGGATCTTGCACCTTTACCATTGTTCATACTGATCATGATTTGGCGACAAGCCTTCCGTTAAGACTGCACGACTTGGTGAATCCCGCAGGTTAACTGTCAGAACCTGATCACACCAGAGATAAAAATCTGTCAATCTTGTCACGCATTGTCGACAAGGAAAGATATAAACCTCACAGAGAGTTATCATATTGCCTCGTATAACTCGAGACGCGGATCTTGTGCCGCCATTCTCGCTCCGACGCCGTCTGGTTTTGCAAGGTGAATCATCAGCGTTAAAAAAAAAAGCATGGCGGATTTTGATTCCTCAAACACATGGGACCCAACTATGAAGCAGTGCATGTCCGTGAAGGTGAACGACCACGTTGTCCTAAAAGGTCATCCCTGCAAGATCATGGAACGTTCAACTTCCAAGACCGGGAAAGATATGGTGCATCTGGTTGGCGCCGACGTACTTACGCAGTCGAAGTATGAAGACACCCTCCCGTCAAAACAGATCATGAAAGCTCTGCCTGGACAGGAGTTTCAGCTGGTCGATATCCTGACGGGAGGGTGCATGTCCGTCGTTGACAACCAAGGTAATGTTAGAGACGATCTTAAACTACCGGATGGGGACTTAGGAAAGGACATCAAGATGAGTTTCGATGAAGGAGAGTTTCCGTTTGTGACCGTCGTCGACGCGCTGGGCGAGGATGTTGTAGTTTCTGTGCGCCAGGAAGCAGAGTAGTGGACATAACGGCACAGCACATGTCCACCAACGAGACCTTGCGTTAGAAGATAACGGTGTTCTGCCTGGTTGGTGATTTGTGCAAACACAACCCATTTTCAGTGAATGTAGATACTGTTTGAAGAAAGTTTACCTTTGATGGTTTGTTGGAACTCCCAAATCGTACAGTTAGCATGTGCGTTAAATGTTACAAGAGTATCGTATATGTTAAAGATATTATTTATATTTATTGATGAAACAAGAAGCGTGGTAGTAAAAATAGCGACGCATTACATCTGACACGAGTGTTTAAGTTTTTTCGGCATGAATTTGGAGGGTTTTGTTTTTCGAAAACGCATTGTGCCACCAATCCGATGTGCTCCTCTCTGCTGGTACTCCATATGGACACTTCTATATTCACGTTGACATAGTATGCATGGACACCCATACAGGTCAGAGTGTCAGTAACTTTTTGTTAATGACAATGAAACTATCGGGATCAAAGTGGATGGTTCATTCCTGTGGATCGTGGATTCATGCTTCGTGACGGTTTCCGGGCCATTTAGATAACGAAAGTAGCCGAGTGTCGGTGCAGTCAAATCTCATATGAGGACAAGAATGGTAAACATTGCTGTTCACGTGGAAAAGTAACCGCGGACAACTTTTTTTTAGTGTTTATAAAAATCACCAACTAAGCCATTTTATAATTTAAATATATTCTCATATAATTATAGTGATGTGATACGTTTGCTTGTAGTACACACGGTCATCTTTAAATGTTTCGAATGTTTGGTATGAGGCACTCCTAAACCACCCTCTGGATCCGCTCATGCAAAGTGATTTAGAATTCACAGCATGGAGTTCATTACATTACAATCTCATTAAAAAAAGATCTTATCGGTAGCGAGAACTAAGATCTGATTTGATTAGATTCATTAGACCTTGATCTGTGACAATACTTTACGCATCATTTTGTATTCTATACAAGGCGACACTATATATTTTTCGTTCATCAGAATTGGCGGATTGAAACAAAAGCCACAGAAAATAAAATTATAAGAAAATTTAATTTCATTTTGATTTGCACGATCACTTCAGTTTGGATCGTTCGTTTTGGATAAGAAAAATAAAAAGATTCATCATCCAAATTCGTACAATATCAAAGTAAGTAATGTTTTAATTAATCGACCAAAATGCATTGTACGTAGTCTCTGGCCACTGTAATCTTCTTGTAATGATAACAAAGCTTTCTCATTAGTAATTATACATATATCCATGTTATTGTAGAATACAAAATATTCGGTACTTTCAACACAACTAACATTCTCACCAGCCCAAACAACTTCGTGTGTACCAAAGAAAAATTTTAAGACGTTGAAATACACAAATCTGTTTTTATTTATATTTCGACAAACCGTAACAAATTAGTTATGGGAACATATAAAACCCTGCGTTTGGAACAATTTCTTTATGTTTTGATACGAGTTCGTGACCATAGCCGGAGCGCAACGACAGTTGTAAGTCAATGTTAAAGTATGGGAGTTACGGTCACCTTAGCGCTACGATAGCTTTGTGGAGCGGACCCCTGGCAGTAAACATAACAACTAGGCGATGTTTTTGTCCTCTAAATTGAGGAGTATTCAGCAATGAGTGATCTCGCAACAGTCAAAGCCTAAATGTAACCATCGCGGTGTTGGTGATGTGCTGAATCGCGTTGGTAAGTTTATTCAGTTGTTCTTTTATTTATTTATTACCCATAGAAAACCAAATTCACAGTATACTTAGCTGCCGGGAAAAAGAAAGTATACACCCATGTCTGATGGTGTCTAAAAAGGAAACAAACAATAGTTATAGTCAATAGTTATGTATTTGATACGGGTATCATAGTTGTGTTTGTGTTTAAAATTGTAATGTTTCAGTCGCTGTTTTCAGCCTTAGTAAAATGTTCATAACGTTTGTAACTGTTTGGTTAAATCCAGTTTTCAAATGTAAACTTTTTTTCTCGTCACTTTAGTATGTGGACCGTCGACTTTGTTCAACCCACCTGATCTCGGTTCCTTTCCGAGTGTTTGAACTCACGTGATCTCTATACTCACACATACACATACAGTGAACGTTGTTCACCCCTTCACACAACATATGAAGTCTGACGTGTATGGCGAGTCTGATCCACAGCTCCCTTCACAGAGTCGTCGCCATCCCTTTTGTTCTTAAAATATCGTAGATGCCAAAGCATTTTCCGAACGCAAATGTAGTACTGTATACGAACTAGTAGCGTTAGGTTCGCTTTGTGAAACGAGATTCTGAACCCACTTGCACAAAGATATGTTAGCCATGTTACAGTGTGTAGAGCTACGATCGCTTTTCGAAAGTGGGCCCTGGGTCCCGTCCCACAAAGCAGTCGTAGCACTTAGATGATCGTAACTCCCATACTTTACTACAGACTTACGACAATCATAGCGCTAAGATGATCGTAACTCCCATACTTTAATACAGACTTACGACAGTCGCAGCGCTAAGATGATCGTAACTCCCATACTTTAATACAGACTTACGAGAGTCGCAGCGCTAAGATGATCGTAACTCCCATACTTTAATACAGACTTACGAGAGTCGCAGCGCTAAGATGATCGTAACTCCCATACTTTAATACAGACTCACGACAGTCGCAGCGCTAAGATGATCGTAACTCCCATACTTTAATACAGACTCACGACAGTCGCAGCGCTAAGATGATCGTAACTCCCATACTTTAATACAGACTTACGAGAGTCGCAGCGCTAAGATGATCGTAACTCCCATACTTTAAAACAGACTTACGACAGTCGCAGGGCTAAGATGATCGTAACTCTCATACTTTAACACAGACTTAAGTCGCAGCTCCACGATCTCTTTGTGGAAAGGGCCTAGGGCCCCGTTCCTCAAAGCAATTTTAGCACTACGTTGATCGTAAACCTATGTTAAAGTATGGGACGTATGATCACCTTAGTGCTAAGATCGCAGCGCTAAGATGATCGTAACTCCCATACTTTAATACAGACTTACGAGAGTCGCAGCGCTAAGATGATCGTAACTCCCATACTTTAATACAGACTCACGACAGTCGTAGCGCTAAGATGATCGTAACTCCCATACTTTTATACAGACTTACGACAATCATAGCGCGAAGATGATCGTAACTCCCATACTTTAACATAGACTTAAGTCGTAGCTCCACGATCTCTTTGTGGAAAGGGCCCAGGGCCCCGTTCCTCAAAGCGATTTTAGCACTACGATGATCGTAAACCTATGTTAAAGTATGGGACTTACGATCACCTTAGTGCTAAGATCGCTTTGAGGAACGGGGCCCTGGTCAGTAAAAGTATATGAAAAAAACCCAGCGCCATGCACACCCACACCACCTCTGAAAATAAAATGGCGGACATATCAGCATATGTTGTAATGTACGTTGTAAGATTGTTCTTTTGTAACTTTAGTAAGGGGCAAATTCCAAGGCCACGATATGGCTTGGTGGGTGGGGGGTTAAGTAGCAAGGGTTATATATCGCAGAACAACGGGGTTTCATATCCAAAGCTTATATGTCAACATTCCTGGGACAGATGAGCCACAGTCCGGGGGATGGTGTCCATTTCAAGCTATAGCTTGTATATATGTAATACGAGCTGGTGTGGAGACATTGGTTGTATAGCTAATACGCGTAAAGAAGTAATTGTAAGATTGACACAGTTCATAAAACCTATTCTGATAATCCGAGTCAGACATATTATGACTACAAACCGGTCTAGTCCGTGGCAAGCACCACCTCCACTGCGACGAGCTTAACGTTGATTGATTAATTTAACCCCTAAATAACTACGTATAGGCATGACATAGTCTGTCATACAGACCCTGAAACAAATATATCCAATACAGCCCATGCAAGACTAAAATGTTTGGAAAGTCTAGATTACTGCGGTGTCTGAAATTGAAGAAATCCCCTGGGCTCCTTTTTATTATATTTTATAACTATAATTTAACAACTGTTTTTTTTTCTTTAATATATGTTCGTTTCAGAGACTAGATGTTAGTCTAGGGCATGGCAAGATACCACCGACACCAACAAATAGCAGCAGTATTAAAATTACGAATCTATAAAAAAAAAACCCACTAAATTTCAGACAGGCAACATATTACATAACATTCTATAGGAAAATGATAACAAAAATGTATAAAGAAAGATTACGTCTTGAAGTTGATGGTTGTATTGAAAAACATACAAGCTAAATATAGGACAGAGATGACATGCAGCATCATGTCGCCTAATTTTTTTGTTTTTTTTATCTGCCCAAATCTGCTTTAATATATTACAACAACGTAATGTCTATTTGTATATACCTGTCTAATATTCACCTAACTATAACATAGTTTTTGAATTTTAAATTAATTTAATTCAAGTTTACTTTCATTATAATAATGCAAATAGTCTCTCGTAGTTCCGTATGGAACGGTTCAATTTTTCATCTTGTATATTTTTGTATCACATGTTGAGGTGAGACTTTAATAAAATATCTGTCTGTCTGTTATAATGTTTATGATAAGTTTTTCTCCAAGCCACACATTTTGGTGTTTTTGAATAGTTCAAGAAAGGCCTTCTTCTGGAACATTTGACCCCCCTAGATATGCTGGAAAAACTGACTATGTAAATACATATTACTGAAAAATCAAATGATATAAAATAAATATATAAGACCTTCGGATATCACATGGCCAAAATATTCAAACTGACATTACACAATAACATAATAATCGGTTCAGTTTACATTAATAATGAACGCTTTTGGCTATAGTTTTGGTCAGATCAAAGACATGAAGGTCACGAACAAGCGTCTTCAACATACAGGTTCAATATTACTTCGTGTGTTTTACAGACACAACAAACCATATTCATCCAGTTTATACATGAGTTAATATTATTATTATTATTATTATTAATAATAATAATAATAATAATAGTGATGATGATGATGATGATAATAATAATTTATGCATTTGTATAGCGCAGCATTCACTGTGCATAAGTGCTCTGTGCGCTATATTTCAAAAGCAATTACCAAGTGAGTGCAAGTGGTTTTACGCCGCTTTTAGATATACCCCAACAACTTCACTGCATGGAACAGAAGGAATGAACTTCTCACACCGCTCCTTTGTGGGGAATCGAACGCAGAGCAGGGTTCTGTGTGGCAAGCGAACGTTAAACCACCAGCCTTCAGCGTGTATAGCCATTGGTTGGACACGGGCAGTGTAGACGGTTTAGTGTAGACCCAACAGGCTCTGCTCATATGCAAAGACAAGATTGGTTTTCAGAACTTAGTCATGCAAACACACCTAAAGGATTACACACGAAATCCGTCTGTAGCATGTGTTTGTTTATTGCTACATGTTGTTCTATAATCTTGATAGTTACATCACGCAATTGCAGTTACAATATTCGCATTGATATGATATTGCCATGCTTATCAGGAAGAATCCGTTATGTTTGTTTGTTGTTTAACCCCACACTCAGCAGAGTTCCAGCTATATGACGGATGTCTGTAAATAATCTGGACCAGACAATCCAGTGATTGACATCATGAGCACCGATCTACGCATTTGGGATAGAATGACGTGCATCAACCGATGGTCGCTTCTTACGGTTCGTTATGGAAACAGTGCTTGTTGAGAGTGTCGGATTACTAGGAAATGAAGGTACGAAGAGTGAGTGAGTGAGTGAGTATGGTTTTACGCCGCTTTTAGCAATATTCCAGCAATATCACGGCGGGGGACAGCAGAAATGGGCTTCACACATTGTACCCACGTCGGAAATCGAACCCGGGTCTTAGGCGTGACGAGCGAACGCTTTAACCATTAGGCTACCCGACCGCCCCCAAGGTAGAAGAAAGATACACAGCACGGGAATACAGTGTTAAGGCTACATGGACCCGTACGGATACATCTAGGATTATATTTAGTGTATCAAAGACCCCTCATATTAATTAAGTGCATATGTAAGAGATTTAATACACTGGATAATCGGGAATGAATCATATACCGCTGGTATCATGTTTATGTTGTCATTGTCATTCTGATATACAGAAAAATATAACACAACAGGGGTCTTCCGAACATCCCAAATCAGGTGACAAGTATACAATTTGAAAACTTGAATTTACCACTGCGAAATATTATGTGTAGACATATTTTCTTTTCGTTTGGGCGTCTGGTGCTATGTTTTGGAATTGCTCATCTTCCCGAGGCAAGAGAGTTAACTGACTTTAGAAGTCCAGTTTCCAGTTATGTGTGCAGCCTACATACAAAACGAAATGTTGCACACAATAGTATGAATGCAGTCAGACTATTTCACAGACACTGTGTACATGACGACATATCGTATGACTGACTGTCTAGTAATTGCGTTCTCAAGGTCGGGTTTAGACAAAACCGTGACCGAACTCCGGGTAAGATAAACCGGTACAGGATTTTTTTGTACAGCGGGTCTCGTGAGGCAACAAACATGCAACGCCATTGTGACAGACACAGGCCTTGACATCAGCACATGGCGGGCGCACTTCACAGAACACCCACCGCTCATCTAGTCAGTTTGATTGTTTAACGCCACACTCCCACTGTAAATAATATAGTTTGGACCAGACAATCCAGTGATAAACATACTGAGCATCGATTTACGCAAAACATCAGGGAGCCTGACCACCCAATCCGGTTAGTCGTCACTTACGACAAGCATGGGTTGCTGAAGACCAATTCTAACCTGGATTATAACACTGGTCCATCTGTAGACAGTATATAAATAAATTGGTTAAGGTACATCGTGACCGATCTCATTTTTCAAAAAATATCAGGGATTAACTGAAGCAAACTCAATTCGGTTTAAAATTGTAAGGAAACAAAAGCGGACACATATGATTGGTCCATTTTCGAAGGCTCTGCAATTCGCTGTACAGAGTTGCGACCCTTCACCGTGCAATGATCCGCTGATCGTGGTACGAATCCTAGTTTCTTCGTGATGATTTAGACTAACGCCTAGTCTATGAAAATATATAATTTTGATGGAAACAACTAACTCCATTTAAACTGAAAGGGAGGCCCAGTTGGATGGGAGATTCTAAACCTGAAGAAAATCTAGACTTGCTTCATTTAGAGCTCTTGCATGCATAACAGAAGAGCTGGGCGGAAGGGAAACACTATGGTTCAGGGACTATGAGATAGACTAGTAATATTTATTCTTGGTTTGTTATCACTGTGTTAACGTTTACCACCAGCATAACATTTGACAAGCTGCGATAAAATAGACAAATTGTTCAAACTCACACAATAGCTGTAAAGAAGTGAATATTTTAAGAAAGTTTTACTCTGTTGTAGAATGAATGAATTGCATGCCTTCGAAAGGGTTATTCAAACCACCGACCATATAATTGCCGAGACCTAATCCACCTGTCGTTTCAGATCCGAAGGAACTATGTGGACACACAATAGTTAGATGGCACGATAAAACCAACAACCATCGCGATTAAGAAAGCTCTTGAACTCATGTCATAGCTTTTGTTATCAGTACTGTGTAAGGCCTATCTTGAATATAATCATTCAGCATATGTTTTGTCATGCATGTGTAGTTATTTCTCAAGGCAAATGCGATAGAGTAGTAAACACTGTTCAATGGTATCATCGCGGAGTTCACTTTGTGCAGTTCACTTTGTGCAGTTCCACCCGGTCAAACTAGATCTTAACCTTAATCTTAATCATATACAGATGGTGCACAAGCATGCAATCGGTATGTATCGGATGTTGACTATAGCGTGATCCGAACACGCTCAATTGTCACCTGTCACCGTGGCCGCCTACAAGGGTTTATGAGCCTGAATTTTTATGACTATGGTTGTCATAATTATCTATGAAAGACACCATACAAAACTGCGAAATTCATTTCTGAGAACTTTCACAATGGAGTTTTTGCTTTATGATTTATTTATGTGAGAACCCTCACAGCTATATCGTCAATGCTCAAGCAAGAACACTGTACTGTAGGCAATTGAGCCTTTGAAAGATAATACGTGTAATAGCCGTGATTTGGGTCGCGTACGTGTTGAATTCCAATATGATGATTCAGGTACAGCTTCCTTGTTTGAATAAAGTTGTAGGCAGGGCTTAAACTAGTTCAAGCACGCCACACAAACATAACAGGGATGTTTCTGGAATATAAACTTAGATTAAAAAGGAAGGACATATGGTCTACACTAGTTCAAGCACGCCACACAAACATAACAGGGATGTTTCTGGAATATAAACTTAGATTAAAAAGGAAGGACATATGGTCTACACTAGTTCAAGCACGCCACACAAACATAACAGGGATGTTTCTGGAATATAAACTTAGATTAAAAAGGAAGGACATATGGCTTACACTAGTTCAATCACGCCACACAAACATAACAGGGATGTTTCTGGAATATAAACTTAGATTAAAAAGGAAGGACATATGGTCTACACTAGTTCAAGCACGCCACACAAACATAACAGGGATGTTTCTGGAATATAAACTTAGATTAAAAAGGAAGGACATATGGCTTACACTAGTTCAATCACGCCACACAAACATAACAGGGATGTTTCTGGAATATAAACTTAGATTAAAAAGGAAGGACATATGGCTTACACTAGTTCAATCACGCCACACAAACATAACAGGGATGTTTCTGGAATATAAACTTAGATTAAAAAGGAAGGATATATGGCTTACACTAGTTCAATCACGCCACACAAACATAACAGGGATGTTTCTGGAATATAAACTTAGATTAAAAAGGAAGGACATATGGTCTACACTAGTTCAAGCACGCCACACAAACATAACAGGGATGTTTCTGGAATATAAACTTAGATTAAAAAGGAAGGACATATGGTCTACACTAGTTCAAACACGCCACACAAACATAACAGGGGTGTTTCTGGAATATAAACTTAGATTAAAAAGAAAGGACATATGGTCTACACTAGTTCAAACACGCCACACAAACATAACAGGGGTGTTTCTGGAATATAAACTTAGATTAAAAAGAAAGGACAACCAGCGAGAGTACGACATCACAGGGCCATAGTACTGACACTGGTGGTCACCATATATATTGTAGATGCTGACATTTGCCTTGCAAGCCCCTGTGAAATGGTTGACTTGGTTGATTGGTGTCATCGTACCCAGGAGTTCACCATTGCTCATATATCAATCACTGGTTTGTCTGGTCCAGACTTGCTTATTACAGAAGGTCGTCTTATATCTGAAATATTGCTCAGCGCCGCGTTAAAAACAAACAGACATATCCTAAAAACATTGAACGGCCATGTTGTATCACATGTCATTTAACCGGGATGTTAATACAAGATTAAGTATTTACACTAAATACGGTATTCTCAACTTGAACAAATGTACCCAGATCGGATACACCATAAAACAAGTCATATCTATTTAATATTTAATGTGTTAACGTGCTTAAGCTGGGATTAAGTAAGTGACGTTTGTTCCGGCCTGGGCTAGTCATGCAGCAGCTTGTCACTCGGCAATTGTACATTCGGTACATCTTTAGCAACCCTTATATCTCGGTTACGCATGCCTGCCTGCGCTCAGGGGCTGACACTCGACACCGACTAGGGTAACCTACTCGTTGTCTCGTTACGTTCCCATCTCGCTGGAATACCTTCTCGGAGAATTGTCAAGTTCGTTACGTGTTATACCTGTGCATACAATGTCACCCTGGCTTAGCGATTTATGACATAATTTGAAACTGTCCTTGAGAAGGAAAGAAAATTGCGGGCAGTTGCACAGATCCTGTGTTGGTTGCTGATGAGAGTCTAAAGCCATACGACACCTACACCCGCACGTGTTGGAGACGAGCAGCCAAACAGGTAGGACGTTTACGGTTAAATCTCTTGCTTTTATGATACCACTGTCTGACTCATTCGGACAGGAAAGAAAAGGTAAAATAGACAGATCACGCCTCAGACTCGGTCACAAAAATCACTATGACAAGGTATGCTCATCTTGCAATCAATCTGAATCCATTGCTCACTTTATACTGGAATGTCAAGACCATGCCTCAGCCCGGTGTAAAGTCTGAAAGTATACACGCATCGAAGTATACCTGGGTATACGGAATCTACCCCCCTTTCCCAGAATCTCTGGGAGTCCCTCGGGTTATGATTATAATCTAGGAGCTCCCAGAATCTACTCCAACCCTGTGTGATTTAAACATTTTTATTTCATGAATGTACATAAATTTTCTTTTTGGCATCTAACTCAGTCTTGATCTCTTCTGGTTAATTGCTGTAACAACATTGTCATCTGATTAAGTTTACATAAATGCCTATTCAGCACACAATTATTTCTAAAACATTCATATCCTGTTATTTAAATTGAGAAGACAAAGGTGGGAGCACCAGTTTATCCAAACAGTAATCATAATTAAAGAAATGAGAATGTACATGAATGTACGTGAAGTTTTCCTTTTTTGGGATGCATTTAAAGGGGAAGTGTACACGCAAAAATCACTTTCTTTCTTTTTCTAATCAAAACGCAATTTTAGAATTAGTTAGCATCTGTGTTTGAAAATATACACTCATTTTTTTCACAGTGAAAGTAGGAAGCTCACAATCGTGTGAAAATGATATGCCGTTATGAGGCCTTCGTTTTTTCGAGCTAAACAGGCCTGAGTTATCCCCCTTAGATTATGACGTAATTGGTGCCATTTCAACTGAGTCCCTGTCTATTCTCAACGCAAAAGATATCAAGTACCAGTTTGCGGTAAAACAACATGGCCTACGACACACTCCGGCGCAGTGGTGACTCAGCATAACACTATGCTGGCTGGCATCTGAGACGCAAGAATCACACACCTGTACCTACACCAAGTGAAGCGGCTCTAACAAAGCATGATGACGTCATAATGTTTATCAATTGGCACCAATGACGTCATATTGCAAGGGGCATAAGCCATGGTGTTTTTGTTATGGAAATAGAACACTTGGTAAATGTGAAAAATATAAATAGTTTTAATGCGAAAAATATGTTAATTAATTGTGATATTTTTATATTTTTGTCTATGACATTTCTAGGTTAACATTTTTAATGTGGAAAAAGTACAAGAAAAATAGGTTCATTTCCGTGTGAACTTGCCCTTTAACTCAGTCTTGATCTCTCCTGGTCAACTGCGTTAACAACATTGTTATCTGATTAAGTTTACATAAATGCCTATTCAGCACACATCTAATTAGTTTTAAAACATTCATATCCTGTTATTTAAATTGAGAAGACATAGGTGGGAGCACCAGTTTTTGAGAAGCAGTCCATTGGTGCAGTGTATCTTACCAACCTCCATGAACACTTTAACGTAGTGATAAATGTTCAGTGACATTTAAATAATTCATGGAAACGTTGGATATTGGTTTTCAGAATAAAATTGCTCTCATATTCTATGTTAGTTTTCTATATTTGTTATTGATAATAATATAAAAACCCTGACTAAGACAATGACATTTGCTTCGTGAAATTTATAACACCCATCTGACTATATTTAGAAGAATAAGAATGTAAATGGACAAATAATTAGATGCTTTTAATGATGTGATGTCTTCTATAGTCAGAATATATATTCTTGATACAGTGATACATGCTTCCCCAAACAAAGATACTTACAGACACAAGTGCATACTTATACTTGGTTTCAAAATGATTTTATATGCAATCAAAAGTAGTTAGGTCTATTCACAAAGCATGTTAAAGCTTATTCAATAACATAAGTGTAAGACATTTCCTCAAACAATTCTCAACACCAACTTTCGAACTTACAAATTGATGATGACTACAATAAGTCAATGTGATTTGTAAGATATCTTTTATTAGTTTAAACAATATTTATTTCTTCTTTGAATACATAAAACAACATTTTGAATTTTTGGATTCGATAACAATTTATTATTATCTACACCGGGGTAGATTCTGGGAACTCCCCGTTTATACCCCCTGTGGGGAGATTCTGCTGCAGATATCCCAAAGCCAAAAGATGCAATTACGAAGACCAAACTAACTCTATTCCTGAGAGATGGACAGCTACTCGGACGTATATAAACAGAGCACCCAAAGATAAAATTGAAATCATATCAATATACGAAAACAGAAATCATATCAATACAAAAACAGAAGTTTTATGAATACTAAAACTGGCAATAGATATGTGAACCCTACTCACACACACGAGTCCCAAAGAGGGACTGGTCAGACGAAATTGCTAAGACAGAAGACGACTTTTTAAACACTTAAGCAACAAAAACATTTCTCTAATGTCTGATGTTGGTTCACATCATATAGATGGGGTTTGTAGACAGACGAAAAAGAATGTAATTATTATATTATCTAAACACAAGCTGCCAATGTGGTCACGTCACTGATGTCATTTAATGTAATACTGCTGCTGCTACTACTGCTACTACTACTACACTACTACTACAACTACTACTACACTACTACTACTACCACTACTACTACTGCTGAATTAAAGTCTGTTTGTTCTTTTTCAGATATCCAATATGGGACAAAAAGTCATGAAGACCAAACTTTTACCTTCCGACATAGATGACATTAAATCTCGAGTTAGCTTCACTGATATCGAAATCCATGATTGGTATGAAGAATTCAAGAAAAGTGCTCGTGTCGAGAAAGGGAAGGAATTCTTAACTGAGAAAGAGTTTATTTCTGTCTACAACAAGGTGTTCCCCGGAGACTGCTCGGATTACGTCCGACACATTGTACGGACATTTGACACTGATGGCAATGGAAGGATTAGTTTTCGCGAGTTCCTGATCGGTCTCAACGCGAGCGGAAGTGACGACTTTGACAAAAACCTGAGATGGGCGTTTGATGTTTATGACATAAGCCAGAACGGGAAGATATCCAAATCGGAAATGGAAGAAATAGTTAAGGTTAGAAAAGGATTTAAGTTCACCCTTGTTACGGTCAAGTCGGGTTTACCCAATGACTCAGCCGGGTTCCTTCGCCCCACCAGGATCCTCTCATCTTGGGTTCGAATCCCAGATCGATCTGATTATGATCCCTAGGTTTCTCAGCACCATACCCGTATTCGTCGGTTGCACCAAGCTGGACAGCATCTGCGGCATGCGTCACTAAGAATTGAAGCTAACGCGCCGAGATATAACTGAAATATTGTTCAAACCGGCGTTAAACCCGACTAACTCACTTACCCTATAACCTGAAGTGATGACGAAAACAAAGCGCTAATAATGAGAAAAGTACATCACATTTATATTCCCGAGCAAGATGCACTTGCGTCACATGACCCAGAGGGTTTGAATTTGGCAGGGCCGACTTTCACAAAGCGATTTTAGCGCTGAGATCCTAACTCCTATACTTTAAATATAGGCTTAAGATAATCTTACTTAGATAATCTGGTACTTACATGTGAGATATGCATACGCTAACGTATACGATACGTAGCTGTCTTGTGAAATCATGATATTGCACGATATGACACACTTCTGTATAGTTTGAATTAGTAGCCTGATTTGTCATGGATTCCAACTTTCTTGTTCATCTGTGTAAATTCACGTTTGTTCAAGCAAGATGTATACGGTTATTCACCGTCAGATTACAAAAATGTATTCTTCGTGTACCCCGCTGGCTGGCATGGAGCATATCTGAAAGCGGCGTAAAACACTTCTCACTTACTATTACAGCTGTTTGTACCATTTCAGTCTGTGTACAAGATGATGGACTTCAGTCGCGTTCATCTTCCACCTGAGTACGCCACACCTGGTGACGTCGTCGAGAAGATGTTCAAGGCCATGGACAAGGACCATGACGACAACATCACGTGGGAGGAGTTCCGTGAAGGTGTAATGACGGACTCGTTCCTGCTCCACCTTGTACAGTGTAACCCTCCCCATGATCCCGGGGACCAGCATGGGGACTAACATGGGGACCAGACAGTGCTCAGTTAGTGACGGACACCAGATTGACCATGTCTTGTTGCATTCCCAGACAGACGCGCAGTTAGCTGCTCTTTATTTTTTAAATAGCTTTTTTGTAATTAACAACCACCAGCTTCGTATGGACGTCTCGATGCATTAAACGCTCCCCGTGATCCCGGGGACCCAAATGGGGACTAACATGTGGACCAGACAGTGCTCAGCTAGTGACGGACACCAGCCTGACCATGTCTTGTTGCATTTACAAACAGGCGTGCAGTAAGCTGGTCTTTATTTTAAAATAGCTTTTTCGTAACTAACAACCACCAGCTTCTTATGGACGCCCCGATGTATTAAACGTAAAACGCTAATGTGTATATATTTGCAAACGTCACATCCCTGCTTCTAAACAGGCCAACTGTCTCAGATATCCATGATTCCCAGATTCATTTACTCCAGACTTACATAATGATCATAATATACATATACAGTGTTAATGTATAGCATTAACACAGTCCATGGTATGTTTCCATTGTTGCTTCAACCGCTCATGTCATGTCACAAACAGACAATAAACAGTATCATTAATTCCTGGGTGTGATGCGATTTGTTCTGTTGGGTCTTATTATTTATTGTTTTGAAATATAACTCATCTCAGAAATAAGCTTAGACCATCCTCGAACCAGATCTTTGTGTCGCATGATGTTCTTGGGTGAGGACCAACAATGAATAAACATCGGCAATTAGTGAAGTGGGAAATAGAAAAAAAAGGACACCAATGGAGCAACAGTGAAGTAGGCAATGGAACACGGGACATACACATGGGACAACAGTGAAGTAGGGAATGGAACACGGGACATACACATGGACCAACAGTGAAGTAGGCAATGGAACACGGGACATACACATGGGCCAACAGTGAAGTAGGCAATGGAACACGGGACATACACATGGGCCAACAGTGAAGTAGGGAATGGAACACGGGACATACACATGGACCAACAGTGAAGTAGGCAATGGAACACGGGACATACACATGGACCAACAGTGAAGTAGGCAATGGAACACGGGGCATACACATGGGCCAACAGTGAAGTAGGCAATGGAACACAGGAACATACACATGGACCAACAGTTAAGTAGGGAATGGAACACGGGACATACACATGGGCCAACAGTGAAGTAGGCAATGGAACACGGGACATACACATGGGACAACAGTGAAGTAGGCAATGGAACACGGGACATACACATGGGCCAACAGTTAAGTAGGGAATGGAACACGGGACATACACATGGGACAACAGTGAAGTAGGGAATGGAACACGGGACATACACATGGACCAACAGTGAAGTAGGCAATGGAACATGGGACATACACATGGACCAACAGTGAAGTAGGCAATGGAACACGGGACATACACATGGGCCAACAGTTAAGTAGGGAATGGAACACGGGACATACACATGGGACAACAGTGAAGTAGGGAATGGAACACGGGACATACACATGGGACAACAGTTAAGTAGGGAATGGAACATGGGACATACACATGGGACAACAGTGAAGTAGGGAATGGAACACGGGACATTCACATGGGACAACAGTTAAGTAGGGAATGGAACACGGGACATACACATGGGCCAACAGTGAAGTAGGGAATGGAACACGGGACATACACATGGGACAACAGTGAAGTAGGGAATGGAACACGGGACATACACATGGGACAACAGTTAAGTAGGGAATGGAACACGGGACATACACATGGGCCAACAGTGAAGTAGGGAATGGAACACGGGACATACACATGGGACAACAGTGAAGTAGGGAATGGAACACGGGACATACACATGGGACAACAGTGAAGTAGGGAATGGAACACGGGACATACACATGGGACAACAGTTAAGTAGGGAATGGAACACGGGACATACACATGGGACAACAGTTAAGTAGGGAATGGAACACGGGACATACACATGGGCCAACAGTGAAGTAGGGAATGGAACACAGGACATACACATGGGCCAACAGTGAAGTAGGCAATGGAACACGGGACATACACATGGGCCAACAGTGAAGTAGGCAATGGAACACGGGACATACACATGGGCCAACAGTGAAGTAGGGAATGGAACACAGGACATACACATGGGCCAACAGTGAAGTAGGCAATGGAACACAGGACATACACATGGGCCAACAGTGAAGTAGGGAATGGAACACGGGACATACACATGGGCCAACAGTGAAGTAGGGAATGGAACACAGGACATACACATGGGCCAACAGTGAAGTAGGCAATGGAACACGGGACATACACATGGGACAACAGTTAAGTAGGGAATGGAACACGGGACATACACATGGGCCAACAGTGAAGTAGGGAATGGAACACAGGACATACACATGGGCCAACAGTGAAGTAGGCAATGGAACACAGGACATACACATGGGCCAACACTGAAGTAGGCAATGGAACACGGGACATTCACATGGGACAACACTGAAGTAGGGAATGGAACACAGGACATACACATGGGCCAACAGTGAAGTAGGCAATGGAACATGGGACATACACATGGACCAACAGTGAAGTAGGGAATGGAACACGGGACATACACATGGGCCAACAGTAAAGTAGGCAATGGAACACGGGACATAGACATGGGACAACACTGAAGTAGGGAATGGAACACGGGGCATACACATGGGCCAACAGTGAAGTAGGGAATGGAACACGGGGCATACACATGGGCCAACAGTGAAGTAGGCAATGGAACACGGGACATACACATGGACCAACAGTGAAGTAGGGAATGGAACACAGGACATACACATGGGCCAACACTGAAGTAGGGAATGGAACATGGGACATACACATGGACCAACAGTGAAGTAGGCAATGGAACACAGGACATACACATGGGCCAACACTGAAGTAGGGAATGGAACACAGGAACATACACATGGACCAACAGTGAAGTAGGGAATTGAACACGGGGCATACACATGGGCCAACACTGAAGTAGGGAATTGAACACGGGGCATACACATGGGACAACAGTGAAGTAGGGAATGGAACACGGGACATACACATGGGACAACAGTGAAGTAGGCAATGGAACATGGGACATACACATGGACCAACAGTGAAGTAGGCAATGGAACACGGGACATACACATGGGCCAACAGTGAAGTAGGGAATGGAACACGGGACATACACATGGGCCAACAGTGAAGTAGGGAATGGAACACAGGGACATTCACATGGGCCAACAGTGAAGTAGGCAATGGAACATGGGAATTAACATGGGCCAACAGTGAAGTAGGCAATGGAACATGGGACATACACATGGACCAACAGTGAAGTAGGCAATGGAACACGGGACATTCACATGGGCCAACAGTGAAGTAGGCAATGGAACATGGGAATTAACATGGGCCAACAGTGAAGTAGGCAATGGAACATGGGACATACACATGGACCAACAGTGAAGTAGGCAATGGAACACGGGACATACACATGGGCCAACAGTGAAGTAGGCAATGGGACACGGGACATACACATGGACCAACAGTGAAGTAGGGAATGGAACACGGGACATACACATGGACCAACAGTGAAGTAGGCAATGGAACACAGGACATACACATGGGCCAACAGTGAAGTAGGCAATGGAACACGGGACATACACATGGACCAACAGTGAAGTAGGCAATGGAACACGGGACATACACATGGACCAACAGTGAAGTAGGCAATGGAACACAGGACATACACATGGGCCAACAGTGAAGTAGGCAATGGAACACGGGACATACACATGGACCAACAGTGAAGTAGGCAATGGAACACGGGACATACACATGGACCAACAGTGAAGTAGGCAATGGAACACAGGACATACACATGGGCCAACAGTGAAGTAGGCAATGGAACACGGGACATACACATGGACCAACAGTGAAGTAGAGAATTGAACACGGGGCATACACATGGGACAACAGTGAAGTAGGCAATGGAACACGGGACATACACATGGGCCAACAGTGAAGTAGGCAATGGAACATGGGACATACACATGGACCAACAGTGAAGTAGGCAATGGAACACGGGACATACACATGGACCAACAGTTAAGTAGGGAATGGAACACGGGACATACACATGGGCCAACAGTGAAGTAGGGAATGGGACACGGGACATACACATGGGCCAACAGTGAAGTAGGGAATGGGACACGGGACATACACATGGGCCAACAGTGAAGTAGGGAATGGGACACGGGACATACACATGGGACAACAGTGAAGTAGGCAATGGAACGACATACACATGGGCCAACAGTGAAGTAGGGAATGGGACACGGGACATACACATGGGCCAACAGTGAAGTAGGGAATGGGACACGGGACATACACATGGGCCAACAGTGAAGTAGGCAATGGAACACAGGACATACACATGGGCCAACAGTGAAGTAGGCAATGGAACACGGGGCATACACAAGGGCCAACAGTTAAGTAGGGAATGGAACACGGGACATTCACATGGGCCAACAGTGAAGTAGGCAATGGAACACGGGACATTCACATGGGACAACAGCAAAGTAGGCAATGGAACACGGGACATACACATGGGCCAACAGTGAAGTAGGGAATGGAACACGGGACATACACATGGGCCAACAGTGAAGTAGGCAATGGAACACGGGACATTCACATGGGACAACAGCAAAGTAGGCAATGGAACACGGGACATTCACATGGGACAACAGCAAAGTAGGCAATGGAACACGGGACATACACATGGGCCAACAGTGAAGTAGGGAATGGAACACGGGACATACACATGGGACAACAGCAAAGTAGGCAATGGAACACGGGACATACACATGGGCCAACAGTGAAGTAGGGAATGGAACACGGGACATACACATGGACCAACAGTAAAGTAGGCAATGGAACACGGGACATACACATGGACCAACAGTTAAGTAGGGAATGGAACACGGGACATACACATGGGCCAACAGTAAAGTAGGCAATGGAACACGGGACATTCACATGGGCCAACAGTGAAGTAGGGAATGGAACACGGGACATTCACATGGGACAACAGTGAAGTAGGCAATGGAACACGGGACATTCACATGGGCCAACAGTGAAGTAGGGAATGGAACACGGGAATTAACATGGACCAACAGTGAAGTAGGGAATGGAACACGGGACATACACATGGGACAACAGTGAAGTAGGGAATGGAACACGGGACATTCACATGGGCCAACAGTAAAGTAGGCAATGGAACACGGGACATTCACATGGGACAACAGTGAGTTAGGCAATGGAACACGGGACATTCACATGGGCCAACAGTGAAGTAGGGAATGGAACACGGGACATACACATGGGCCAACAGTGAAGTAGGGAATGGAACACGGGACATACACATGGACCAACAGTGAAGTAGGCAATGGAACACGGGACATTCACATGGGCCAACAGTGAAGTAGGCAATGGAACACGGGACATTCACATGGGACAACAGTGAGTTAGGCAATGGAACACAGGGACATACA